ACATGGATTTATATAGAATAATAAAATACACAATTGAATCAAAGGTGAATGGTTGAGTTGAATTATGTAGTGTATTTATGCCAAGTTTCAGTGTGTGTGAAACTGTTATTAAGATTTGTGTGTGAAATTAAACTAAGTGTTTGTTCATGTACAAAAATGTCTTTTGTGGCAGTTCAGTCAATAGTGTTTATGCATGTACTTGTTTAAATTATTGCCCAAAGCTGTATGAGTTGTGTACCTTGAGTTGTTTTGATGTTTGATTGAATGTTTACAAATACTTATTAGTAGTGAATTATTATCACTTTTTAGTATTGTAAGAAATTGTTTCTGGTAGAGCAAAATGTTGTTTGTTGAGTGAGAGAAGTTTGTGCGGGAAAAGTGTAGTTGGTTAAGATTTTGACTAGTTTGGCATTTCTCCAGGATGAAATTCTGACTGCCTGTACTTGCGTGAGTGCTGGTAATGTTCTTTAAAGTCTGACCATGTGGTTAAGAAGGGAGCTCTTGAGAAACATGAGGGAGCTTATTCGTGTTTTGTTTATATAAAGCTGGGTATCACATGATCGGCTTCGATCGAAAATGCGGGAAATATCATTCATCACGTGCAGGCGATCTGTTTGGTCAGAACTGACCAATCAGCGAGCTAGTTTTGAGGAGATTAACCAATGAATACTTGTCGCATGATTTGTATATATGTGATGATAATCATCACAGGGGAAGAGTGCATTTCCCCACGGGGGTGACTGGCAAACGTGGAAGATTCCACAATAGTAATTGGATATATTGATGGCATTTTTGTTTTAAGTATTTGATATGGGAGATGAAGTGGATTCCAAGATATTTGTGTGTGTGTCTGTAACTTTAATCTCTAGGAAAGTTTTTATCATTTATTTTTGTGGTCTGAATCATATTAGGTATCCCAACACTTAGCTAACAGCTGATGAAATTCTTAAAACTAAACACTAAAAAAGGCATATATTCAACTAACTGTGTTATTTCATTCAATATCTCCATAAAAACATAATGCATACCAAATAAAAGCTTATTTCATGAACTTTGTTTCTATCTTATTTATTTTTATATGTACTACAGTGTGCAAAAAAAATTACAGTTTGAAAATAGAGACATTTTGGTGATTTCGCAAAATTTTGGCCATTTTTTTCACTGACGGCAGTTTAGACTTCCTCAAATTTTGTAACATGTGCACTCCGCAGTGTTTATTAATACGTTACTTTGAAAGTTAACATTCTAAGCGTCATTTTCATATATTTTATATTTTTTTAATTTTAATAAGAAGTTTGTAAACAATTCAAATGAAAAGTTTGATCATAAAATTCAAATGCTTCTTGTAAAAAAAAAAACAAACAAAAAACACATAAAATATTTCATTTAAAACGCTCATTTAATAATCTATGAAACTAAATCAAAATCAAATATGAAACGATAGCTCCATTTTGCGCATGTGCATTTATGTGTAGCTATGTGCAACTTGCTCGGCCATCATTTCAACTCCACGCGATACTCAATACACAGCATCAACACGGACACAAAAGAATCGACCAGCATGTTTTCTATGGATTGTTTTAAATATTAATTTTCTATGATATGTAAAATATAAATGGGATTTAAAAACCGTTTTCATCATAAAAAATATAAAACAAAAATCGATTTGTTTACGCTCAGATTCAGATCACGAAAAAAAAAAAACGTAGGACTTATTGATCGAAAAATGTTGATATTCAATTTGAATAATTCAAAGAATGAGATAAAAAAACATTCTACAAAAAAAATTCTAGAATGTCTTTTATGGTTTTGCAGTATTCTCACAATAATTATCAGCATTACCAAGTAGTAACATTTTGTTTAAAGTTATCCCTTCAAAAATTTTTCTTACTTTTTTAATTAATATTCATTTTCCTAATTTATTATTATTTTTTAGTAATATTTATTTCATACGGATTATGATTGTTTATTTTATTCTAAAATATTTTAATGTATCAGTTTTAAGGACCACTGTGGAAATAGGTTTGTTGAGAAAATATTTTAGTGTTTCCTTATTTGTTACCCAGGTGTATGGATGACTCTAAATTTATATTTATCCCTGATTGTATTTAGTGCAAATTTTTATGAACTGTAAATAAACTCAAATTCAGTAAGAAAACGTAGACAATAATTTGTAGATGACTACTAAGTGTTATGCTTCTCTCTCTACAGTCCAGAAATTGTACATGTTGAGTTAGGACTGTACATGTTTAGCATCTGCTTAATATACATTCTAATCTGTTGATTTTATGTCATTTTAACCATGATAAATGGAAAGAGCACCCCCAGAAATTGCTAGATATGAAATTTGGTGTTTCTAGTGTAAGAATTATTCATTTTATGACACAATTCAAGCAAGTCTAAAATCGGCCTTTCAAATAGCTTGTGTCAAAAGGTTAAAAAGCATTTTCTTCAATTTTGAAGTGGAATAATCCAGAATATATCCATTCTATAACTCCCAGGCATGTTACTGGTATAGTCATAATGTGATATTTGAAATTTGGGATGAATGTGGGTCTTATTTCCAGTTTTATGAAATGTCAAACCTCAGTTGTTTGCACATCATTGCAGAATTTTTGATTTATAAAATTTGCATATTCAGACTGAATTTATTTAAGAAATATGCAGTGATACTCTTTGTAATTTTATTATTAATTTCTTTGTTATGTACCTAACAAGCTAGTATAATTTTAACTGTTGTTCTTAATTGCTTTTTTAAATACAGGAGTCCAAATATGGTATATTGTTTTAATTCATAATAGACAAAAAATGGCACATGTGTAGAAATCTGCCAAAATTAAACGGTTTGAGATATTTTAATGAAATAAAAACTGCTAAGTTTCTTTAATCATGTAGATTAAGAAGATGCAACCAGATAACACCTAGTACCTGTTTGAAATTTTCATCTGTGATACCTAATCATATTCATAATGGGGTCTTTTTGTTTGTTTTTTTTTGTTTTTCCAGAAGCCATAAAAATACATGATTTATTTCACTGACTATACTCCCCACCAATCATGGAGCTCCACAAGGGGGATAATTCTAAGAGTAAAACCCATTCGCATATCAAAACTACATAGTCAGTATACTCATACTGTAGATAAACATAATTATCAATAGTTTTTCATTCCCAAGTTAACTATTTAACTTTAAAAATCCAAGAAATTGAAAGAAATGGATGCAGAGATTTCAACACTTTGAAGAAACATTGACACTCTGGGAAGAAAATAACAAAACTCAAATCAGTACATTAATATATTGCATGGGAAGCAAAGCCAAAAAATATATTCCAGATACAAATGTGTAGGAGTCAGTTTTGGAAAAATTCAATAGCCTACAAGAAACATAATACATGAAAGGGTGAAATTTTATCTTAGAGTTCAAAAAGCAATGGAAACTTTATTCATGCACTGCATGAATTAGCAGAATCATGCATATTTCCAAAGAAAAATGGACAAATCAGAGACAGTTTTGTGATAGAATTGCACTACAGACTAGAGACCTATCTGAAAGATTACAGCTATTTCCTAAACTGAAACTTGAGAGAGCCATGGAGATGGTCAGGATCAGTGAACAAAGAAAATCTCAAATGGAAGAAATACAACAGCAAAATGTAGATGAACTAAAAACCCAGAGAAACTTATGAGGCACAGCAAGAAGAAAAAGCAGAAAAACAGCAACAACAGCTGCACTAGATGTAACAGAAAGCATTATTTTAAAACTGTCCGGAGAAAAAGAAACAGTGCAAGAAATATGGGAAAAATGAATAACTTCACTGTAGCCTGCACGACCCAAACTTATAGGAAATAAATTCCTATATTTTAAACCCAATAAGTGAAACACAAACAAATAAGAAATGCCTACAAATAAATCCTACTAAAATCAGTAAATATGAAAAAAAACTTTACAATTCTGTACAAAATACTGCTTCAAAATTAAATAAGTGATTTCTGGAACCTGTTTGGATACAAGTCATGTGATGTTTCCTGTATGACGTCCGCATGGTTGAATTCAAAATGACCTGAAAATAGGTCATGGCACAAGTTACTAAGTACATTCCCATGCAAAAGTCAGATAGTAATTCAGAGCTGATCCCAAAACAACAAAAATTAGCTTATCAGGACCGGATCAAACAGGACAGCCAGCAGAGAGATCTGTGAAACAGAACAGTCAGTGAACAAGCTCAGCCTACATACAAAGCTATGGTGAAGTAAATCTTGTCTCAACTCTCTTTGTTCATTCTGTTTTAAAATTATAGCAACAATAATGATGGTAATGATTTGTAAGCATTTCTGGTCTCACTAGGGTATGCATAGAGCAAATAGATTGAGTGGCAAGTTTGAATAAAATAATTGTTGAGTTTAGCACATCTTTTGTTTTTGTGCTGCTTCTGCTTTTCAGAAGCTAGTCTTATAATTTATCCTTTCACCCTAATCCAAGTGGAACATGTATAATTTATCCTTTCACCCTAATTCAAGTGGAACATGTATAATTTATCCTTTCACCCTAATCCAAGTGGAACATGTATAATTTATCCTTTCACCCTAATCCAAGTGGAACATGTATAATTTATCCTTTCACCCTAATCCAAGTGGAACATGTATAATTTATCCTTTCACCCTAATCCAAGTGGAACATGTATAATTTATCCTTTCACCCTAATCCAAGGGAACATGTATAATTTATCCTTTCACCCTAATCCAAGTGGAACATGTATAATTTATCCTTTCACCCTAATCCAAGTGGAACATGTATAATTTTTCTGATGCATAAATTTCTAAAATATTTCAAATAATAATACAATAAAACTGTACTTATTTGACAACCATGGGTTCTTCATGTCTTCAACACAAATAATATCTGTATTTCATTGTAGGCAAATTATTTTTGTCTATTTTACAAACAGTGAAATAATGATAAAATAAATGGAGATTTCATACCATGCCTGTTTATTTACTCACCAGATCAATATCCAGTATCTTTTTGTATCTACATGCCACTGAAGTTACACTAATCAATTCGTTCAGGGTGAGGCTGTTAACAATCTTTTTTGTTAGCTTGGTGGCTATTTTTCCCAACTTGTTTGCATTGGTTTTCGCATTATTTGCTACACTTTTGGGGCATGAGTTAACCAGGTACTGGATCTGCAAAGTGTTCAAATAAGAATCATTCCTATAACTTCAAGATACATTTTAACAACATTAAACAATTTAACCGATCATTTAACTATTTAAATCAAAATATTAGAAAACTTAGTCAATTTCCAGGAAATCAATTTTATTAAGTTAGAAATGTAACTTTATCTAGTCTCTCAATTATAAAATTCAGTAGTGGGTGGGAAAAGGAAGAGTTTAAATTTACTTTTTGAAAAAGTAAATTTAAAATGTTTTAATGAGTAATTATCATTTTTTTATTGAAAAAAAAATATAAATTCAATTATAAAACTGAGCATATCATTTGCTGTTTAACTAACTGCAACAGGAATAATTAATTGAGCCTGAGATATAAAGTTAACATCTTCATCTCTAAAAAGGCTAGAGATCTTAATAAATCTTCTATCATTTTTTAAAAACTTAAACATATTTGGTTAATGGTAATGGCAAGTAGTTGACCTGGAAACAATGACATTCAAAATTAAGAATGATCCAAGGTAAAAAATGAGAGAAGGATCAAAATTATATGGCCATTAATGCAGACCAGAATAACTTATTATTATAATCACATTATCAGCAAGTGACAACACTTCATGCAATCTGTATGAAATAAGAGGGAAGATGATAACATTATGTGTGATGTTTATTTATACTGACATCTATATTACAGATTAAGGTAATACGTTAGAAGAAAAGATAAAATATTAATCATGCATAAATTACAGTACAAACAGATGGCAAAATATATTATAACAATTTCAAAAATTGAAAATTCATTAATGTATGCTTTCATTTTTTTAATATTTGTTTAACAATTCCCTAAAAATACAGAAAAGCATATGTAGTGCCTCAGATATGTGTCACAATTATTACATAACCTCAATTGTTTTGAGAGTTCAATTTATTTGTGTGTATTGTGGAAATTTAATGTTTGGAGAAAAAAAGGTTAACAAAAATAATATTAATACTTGATCTGTTTTAAGCTCAGTTGTATCTGCCTTCATGCTGCACATTTCTTCAGGTGGCACCTTTTGTAACATGTTGATTGAGATTACAGATACCAATGAAGTGTCCATCATTAAAGCCATAGTTTCATTTTTTGAAGTTGTGTTCATCAACTGTGGATAGAGCAAAGGCCAACATTTAAAAATGAAAAAAAAACATTGTAAAATTTATCATGCAATAAGAAAGAATAATAATAATAAACATGAAAAATAAACTTTGTACGCTTCATATGTTTTTAAAATATGAAATTTTGCAAAATGTAATTCTTTAAGTTTAGAGTCAGTCATTCATTATTAGATATATTAATTATTACAATTAGGTATTATAATTTCTATAGAAACTTTTTTTTTACTCTTATGAAAATATTTACTTATCGTTGACATTCTAAAATTCATTTGTGAATAGCATAATAATAGATGTTGCTAAGTTAATAGAATGCACAAAAGCATGTAGTGATTCATAAATAAGAAACTGGAAAAATATTATAATAGCATTTTCTAAATTCTTCCACTTGCTAAAGACATTTTGTTTTGTTATTAATAGTCACTTTGTTCTAATAAATTCATTTCGTTTTTGTCTTGAAAAAGTCCACATTTGATGAAATGTGTTGGCTAATATTACAGTTTTCCTATTGTCTTTTAGATTTATATATATATATATATATATATATATATATGAAGAAATTTTGAAAAAACAAACAAAAATCCTTAAATGTAGTTAAATGAAAGAAATGTCGACGTCTGACGTTTCGGTTTATTAAACCTTTTTCAAGACAATATTCATCAAAATACAATTCAGTTCAATATGACAAATACGATGGACATAAAAACACAAGTCTTATTCAGAACAGATAACTGAAAATTTTAAAATGATCAGCCTTCCGTCTAACATGGTCACGCTGTCGTCACATGGGCGACGCTTTCATAACGTATTCCTAAAAGTTTGTGATTATTTTGAAATGAAAAAAGAAAAAGAAAATGAAAAGAATTCTATTAGGTTCTAAAATTCTTATGTGTATGCTTGTCGAGCATCAATCTCTAGCTAAAGGGAAATATTAAAGAAACCAGGTCTAGTATTCACCGTGCGTGAGATGGATATTATACCTGCTTCATAAATCCTCCTGAGATTTTTATTATGAAAATATTTTAATACTTTCACGGAATCGAAATCGAAATTATGATCTGCTTTAGTTGTGTGTACAACTAAAGCATTGTTAAAATTACCGAGACAAATATCTCGTTTATGTTCGAAAACACGAGATTTTAAGGACCTACCTGTTTCACCCACATATTTTAGGTCACAATTTTTGCATGATATTTGATAGATGCAAGCATCGGATGTAATATGTTGTCTGCTGGTGCTATTTAATAAACTACGGATAGTCCTAGTAGGTAATATAGTAGTTCTAATTTTTAATGCATTTAGATTATGAGAGATACGTTCGGTCAAATGGTTATTTGGTAAAAAGATGCGACCAAACGAAATATTATCAGAGGTAGCTGAAATTGTATCTTTCATTGATCTAGTTGTAGTGACCTTTGAGGTGTCATTTTGCGCTGATGAGTGAATTTTCAACGCTTTATTTTTAGCTCTCTGTAATAATTGTCTCGGATACGAAAGATTTGAAAAGGTATCCTCAATATATGTAAATTCATCATTTAAATATTTTGATGAACAGATGCGAAGAGCCCTCAAATAGAATCCAATAACAATACCCCTCTTAGTGTTAGTATCATGGTGAGAGTAAAAATGTAAATAGTCATTTTTACATGTAGGTTTACGATATACTTTGAATTCTAATTTATTTTTATTTTTAATGAGTAATATGTCTAAAAAAGGTCAGGAATTATTAGATTCAAGTTCATAGGTAAATTCAATAGTAGGTTCTATTCTATTTAATTTTAATCTATCAGTAATCTCGTTTAAATCATGCTTATGTGGGTAGATAAATAAAATGTCATCGATGTATCGAAAGTAATGTGTATCAGGTGGAATGACATCTTTAAAAGGTCCAGATTCAAGAAATTCTAGAAATATGCATGCTAGGAATCCAGAGAGAGGACTCCCCATCGGTAAAACCAAATTTTTGTTTATAATAAATATTATTATATTGGAAGAAACAATGTGAAGTGCAAAGGATGCATAATTTGATGCATTTCGAGATAGAGATAGGTAGCTTAAAGTCAATTTTCTTAAGGTGGTTCTCTAATTGTTTAATGCATTTATCAACAGGTATATTAGTATATAAAGATTTGATGTCTAAGCTAGCTAGTAATTTGTTATCTATATCAATATTTCTCAACTTATTTAAAAGAGAGCCTGAATTCTTTATATGTGCGTTACTTACGGTGCCCAGAATTGGAGTTAGAAATTTAGTTAAATACCTAGCGATATTATGAGGAGCTGAGCCTATACCCGAGATGATGGGCCTTAATGGGATGTTAAGCTTATGGGTTTTGGGGAGGCCATAAATTCAGGCTCTCTTTTAAATAAGTTGAGAAATATTGATATAGATAACAAATTACTAGCTAGCTTAGACATCAAATCTTTATATACTAATATACCTGTTGATAAATGCATTAAACAATTAGAGAACCACCTTAAGAAAATTGACTTTAAGTTACCTATTCTATCTCGAAATGCATCAAATTATGCATCCTTTGCAATTCACATTGTTTCTTCCAATATAATAATATTTATTATAAACAAAATTTGGTTTACTGATGGGGAGTCCTCTCTGGATTCCTAGCATGCATATTTAGAATTTCTTGAATTGACCTTTTAAAGATGTCATTCCACCTTATAACATTATTTCGATACATCGATGACATTTTTATTTATCTACCCACATAAGCATGATTTAAACGAGATTACTTGATAGATTAAAAATTAAATAGAATAGAACCTACTATTGAATTTACCTTTGAACTTGAATCTAAATAATAATCCCTGAATTTTTTAGACATATTACTCATTAAAAATAAAAATAAATTAGAATTCAAAGTATATCGTAAACCTACATGTAAAAATGACTATTTACATTTTTTACTCTCACCATGATACTAACACTAAGAGGGGTATTGTTATTGATTCTATTTGAGGGCTCTTCGCATCTGTTCATCAAAATATTTAAATGATGAATTTACATATATTGAGGATACCTTTTCAAATCTTTTCGTATCCGAGACAATTATTACAGAGAGCCAAAAATAAAGCGTTGAAAATTCACCATCAGCGCAAAATGACACCTCAAAGGTCACTCATAACTAGATCAATGAAAGATACAATTTCAGCTACCTCTGATAATATTTCGTTTGGTCGCATCTTTTAAAATAACCATTTGACCGAACGTATCTCTCATAATCTAAATGCATTAAAATTAGAACTACTATATTACCTACTGTCCACTATCCGTAGTTTATTAAATAGCACCAGCAGACAAAAATATTACATCCGATGCTTGCATCTATCAAATATCATGCAAAAATTGTGACCCAAAATATGTGGGTGAAACAGGTAGGTCCTTAAAATCTCGTGTTTTCGAACATAAACAGATATTCGTCTCGGTAATTTAATAATGCTTTAGTTGTACACAACTAAAGCAGATCAGAAAAACGATTCCGTGAAAGTATTAAAATATTTTCATAATAAAATCTCAGGAGGATTTATTCTATCTCACGGAATACTAGACCTGGTTTCTTTAATATTTCCTTTTTTAGCGAGATTGATGCTCGAAAACATAAGAATTTTAAGAATTCTTTTTCATTTTTCTTTTTCTTTTTCATTTCAAAATAATCACAAACTTTTTAGAATATTGTTATGAAAGCGTCGCCCATGTGACGACAGCGTGACCATGTTAACGGAAGGCTTTTTCATAATTTTAAAAATTTTCAGTTATCTGTTCTGAATAAGACTTGTGTTTTTATGTCCATCGTATTTGTCATATTGAACTGAATTGTATTTTGATGAATATTGTCTTGAAAAAGGTTTAAAAACCGAAACGTCAGACGTCGACATTTCTTTTCATTTAACTACAAGGATTTTGTTTGTTTTTTCAAAATTTCTTCATTCTGTCGGATTTATATCCATTTACACTTGCTTATATACTGTCTAGGAAAAATACAAAACCTTTCATTTTACAACATGGAAGATTACAAAAATACAAGAATTTACATCAAGAATAGAAAAGATTTCTTAAAACTGCTTATATGAAAAAAAAAATCGTTCCAAATCTTCATTTTTCCATATATCTTTAATCATCAGTGATTTAAAGTTTTCCGAGGAACAAACTTTTAAAAGCCACACTTGGAAGAATAAAATTGAAAAAACAGCATGTCTAGGTCACAACGGATCTAGAAGTGACCAGAATTAATCAAAACACATCAGGAGTTTAAAACTAAAACCATACTTTATGTGATCGCAGCTATTGGAAGAATATATATATATATATATTATATATATATATATATATATATATATATATATATATTATATATATATATATATATATATATATATATATTATATATCTAATCTATGAATAATATGAATCAATATATATATATATATATATGTGTGTGTGTGTGTGTGTATTGTATGAATAATATTAATCCATTATGTAAGTAATTGTAGGTTTAATAAAAAAAAAAATCATTTCATAAATAAGTTATATCTTGTTGCATGCACACAAAAATCTGTTCATATTTTATTCTATATAATATTGCACACAAATATTAATTTAACTTGTTGTAGACAGGTGATATAATCCCAAACAAAAATAACAAGTAGAAGGCCTCATATTATTTGCAATTCCACAGCAAGCTCAAGATAAATTTGCAAAATTGAAAATAATTTCATTTTTTTATCCTAATGTAATTTTATATATTTATTTATCACATAGGCTGGTTTTCTGTTCATTCCTCTGCATCAATGAGCAAATATACTCATGTTACCAAAGCAATAAAATATCTCATTAGAAAGTAGGAAAGACCAGGTTGTTAATATGTTGCTTTTTATTTCTTGTGTTAGTTTCCTTTGGATATTTTTATTTTTTAATCCTTTAAAAAACAAAATTCTTTCTATAGATAAAATTCAAAAATGCAAAATTATTTTAATATGACTGTCATTTTTTGACAGCATGAATGAACTAGTTTTTATATTTTTATATATCTTTTATTTTTGCATTCTGCAAAAATACAGTTAAGAATAGAAACTCAAAGCAATCAGACAAAATAAAATGTTCCCAAATTATTAATCATAAGAGTAATAAATGCATCTACATGAAATCAGCAGACACAAATTATATTAACAATCTGTAGAGTCAGGACTTTTTTACAACTATCAACAACAGATATATCACATGGTGTACATCAATAGATGAATATCAGAATAAAAAACAAAAATTCTATTAAATCGCACTTTTGTGTAAATTGAAAAAAATCTATTTTAATAAGTCTAGGATATAAAATCCTATATTTTGCAATCAATAGGTGAAACACAAATAAGTAAGAAACGCCAATGCACAAATAGGATAAGAATCACTAAAACAAAATCTTTTGTACAAATCAGTAAAAAAAAAAAATAGGATCCAGAATTAAATAAATGCTTTCTGGAATTTGATTGGACAGTACAGTCACATGCATCTGTATATTTGAACTCCAAATGAACTGGTCCTGGGTGCCATCCTGCATAAACTGAAAAGCTTTCATTTGGAGCCAATCACAATATCAGGATAACTATATATACACAGATTTTGGGGGTAATCAAAACACACAGAGCAAAAACTCAGTCAGCAGCTAGGTGGGGATCACCCAACGATGACAAGTAGTTGAATCTGTAAACACCCGACCAGAATTTTCTTGTCACCGTAACAACACCTCAGTCAGTTACGACTATGTACCATTCAAAGGAATATTCACACAACTCAAAGAAACATTCATAGCTGTGAAAAAAGTAAGTCTGTATGTCCATTTCCTTTTGGAACCACTGTAATTAGATTTCACGTATTAGCACTCACACCACAATGTTTCTACTAATGTGCTTCACCCACACACATACACACATTCAATCAGCAGCCACACATACACTCTGTTGAAATGTGCTTCAGACACATGCACATTTATGCATACTTTATATTGACTAAGGCATATGTCTTTACAAACTACCTTTTAACAAATGGAAAATTTTGTAGAACATTAGAACTTTGGATTTTTATGACCAGAACAAACACAGTGTTTGCCATGTAAAAACAAATATTAATACGTACATAAACATATGATTGTTTCAATCTGGTTTTCCTTTTTGCTTATGTAAAAAAAATCATTTTTTTGAATTATGGTATATTTGTGGGCATGACACTCGGATTTTAATTTTTCACTTTTAACCCAGGCAGACTGACCCGACATAAGCAACAGTAATTATTTTATCTTTTTCTGTCTTATAATTGTTCACCTAGGTATTTATTCAAGACTCAAAGGTAATAAATCATAAATTAACTCTATTTTTTTAATTAGTGTTACTAATGGAAACAATAGTATCATCACTAGGTAATATTTAAATCTAATTTCTCTCTTAACCTTCTTAAATAAGTAAGAAGTGTTGTCTATAGATTGATTTCATATTGGCGACCAATCATTTCAAATTAATTGGGATTATTTGTATTTTCACATACATCCACCTAGTTGAAAATTTCCTTTAGGAAAAATGAAATAATACACAATAAAGAACACAAAAATATTGTATTATTCCTATTCACGAACTGTAAATATTTGTCTGTGCTTTGAATAATTCTTATTCTTCCTATTTAAGAATTGTACTGAAATTTGTTCACTATTTTGTCTTTTAAAAGACATTAAATTAATTTCAAATAAAGATATTACTAAATTCTTGATTATGTATTTTACAATAAATTTCCTTTGATTTTCTTATATAATACTTTTATTAAGGGTATTACTTGTTTATAAATACCACATCCATTAAATTTAATAAATATTAACACTGACTGTAAAAGTTTCCTTAAATAGGTAATATCTTTTAATTGTAATCAAGATAATTTCAGTAAAATAAAACACTTCTTTATAAAATATTTTTACAATTACATACAATCTTAATTTACTGTATCTGATAGCATAGAAGATGCAGTCCTATTATAGCCACACCCATGTTAGCAATACATATTCAGCGTTAGCTATAGCAGAAAACATTACTGTATATAGAAGGCAAACTAGCAGCAAGATTAAGGGTGTGTTGAGGCATTTTTTTAGGTATGATGGATCTAACAAATAACAATACTTTATCAGTACATCAGTGGTGGTAGTATAAGTTGTTATTATAGTAATAATAATAATGTTGTTTGGGTATAATATGATTATGGTGTTAGGCTAGGTAGAAGTGACTCTGAGGTAAAAGTATAGCTTACTCTCATAATAAAAAGGATGAGTAGAAAAAATGAAAAAATGTAATGAACTTTGGGGGTTTGAAAAAATAAGAAAATCTAATAAATGGTGATGGGGAGGTATGTATATGGAGAGGTCATTTGGAAATTATTAAAATGAATGAGTCATTCAAGTGATGGAGAAAAAGCATAAAACCTTGAAGGAATACGCATAACTAAAAATAAACATCCATCAGTATCTAAGTAAAATGCTCTAACAAAATTGAAAATATTGGATTGGAAGAAAAGTTTGGAATGTTTATATTTAGATATATTTGTATACATATTTATTCACCAATATATGTGCCATTTTGTTCCACTGCCTTTCTCCACTTTTTAGGCAACTTTTTGATTCTATCATCCCAGAACTTTCTGGGTAATGATCTGGTCTAAAAGGTTTTTACAAGCTTCCAGAGAATTTAAGTTTTTCCTATTAAGAGAGTCTTGAAGTTTTATCTATATTACAATATAAATAAATGTAAAATATAAAAAATTAGTAAGCAACAGGATTTCCAGTAAGCTCTGCTGGAGTTTCAAAAAATTTCCACTAACAAGTGGAGGGAAGGATATTTATTTAGTATCCAAGAGTACAGGAGTAAGTATTGGGGAGAAAATTAGTTAATTGAGAGAGAAGTATGTAGAGAGAAGTTTAGAGAGAGAGAAAGAGAAAGAAAGAGACAAGGGTTTTAAAAGAAAGCACAAATGCCTTATTTTAATTTTAATTCTTTTTATTTTTGTTTATATATTTTATTTTTATTGGGACTCACTACAATTCTTTCAATTTACCAAAGTTTACCAAATTTTGTTTAGATTAATGCAACTATCTATGGCATTCAATGTGCATTTATATTGAAATATTAGTTATAGGTTAAATTTATATGGAGTAAAGTGTTACTCTTAAATAGAAAAAGAAGGCCATAATGAAGATTTATTCTGACCTTATTAACCAGGCTTAGTTTTGCTAGGGATTCTTCCTCCTCCTCCTCCTCATCATCATCATCATATGTCATCTCTTCAGATGTGGATTCCTTTTTTTTCTTAAAAATCTGAATTAATACATTCTTATTTGCATCTGAGTACAATTTATTTACAAAAGTCCCAGATTTCATTAAAATATCATTTGAGATTTTCCTAATGAAATCCTTCTTTTCATCTACAGACTTGGTCTCAATCTGCAAAGACAAAACATTTGGAAAAGGAAGTAATACATGAAAGACAAATAAAAAATAACAAAGTGCAAAATTCATCACATATTATGAAGCTGAAATCTCAAAAGAAATATTAAAGTCAGATATTGACTCATAAATGCATTTGATTATGCAACTATAATAAATTAAATATATTTTTTTATATTTTTTCAGACAGAGAAACAATTTAATAGATAAGTATGAACAAAGCTTGGACAGCTACTTCTGTTCAGTTGAAAGCTAGAGAGTATAAATGAATAGCAGTTGAGTGATATTAGCAGTGCTTGATTTGGCAAAAGCTGAAGTTGTGAGTAACACTAGAAGACAGACATTATGGATCAAAGTAACCAGGAGACCTTTTTTTTACGATACCAGTCAGCCATATGAAACAATGTGTGCTTAGTCCACACCAAAACACCTCATTATAATGTGATTGTCAGTTTAATACTTACATGCCAGTTAGAAGTGCAGTTGGATCTGCAAGAGATGTATGACAAGTGGTAGCAGAAGAAAACTGAGAAAATTCAAAGCTAAGAAGGCCTTTGGTTCCTTTAAGGCAATATATAGTCCATCAAGACCTGGCAGTGCTCCACTGCTGTCTTTGGATAGCACAACTCTGATTAAAGACAAAGCAGGATTGAGAAAATGCTTGACAGAACACTTCAGCAACTTGCTCAACAGACCTTTGTTGACCTTACAACATTGAGCCAAATACTTCAGCTATCAGAACACCCTTGAGACCTTTCATAATATCTACATAGTATCTGGGAGAGGGAAAAGATACCGAATAACTTCTGATTGTCTCTCTAGACAAGAACAAAGGAAATAAAGCAGACTGTGGAAACTAGTGACACATCTCACTCCTTTCCATCACCAGAAAGATCTTGGCACCTGAAAGTCATCCTCAATAGACTCACTGTCTCTAAGTGGAACCTTTAAGAGTGGCTTCAGACCACGTTAGATATATTCTTTGCTATAAGGCAACTACAAGAAAAATGCATCAAGAAAAACATGCCTCTGTTCTGTATTCATCAACCTGACAAAAGCCTCTCACAGTATCAATAGGAAGCCTCTTTGGACTGTCCTTGAACACACTGAATGCCTACAGAAATTTATATAGATCATTCAGCACTTTCATGATGGGTTGTCATGACATGATGGACCTTTGTGAAATCAGTATCAGCATGAAACAAGGTTGTGTCCTAGCCCCAGTTCTCTTCTGTGACACTATTTGGCTATGGTCAGTGGCTAACTAATTAACCATAGAAATACTTAAGGCCAAAAAAAAAACTATCCTGAAAGACAGACTGATCGATGTTAAAAAGAAGATTTTATTTTTTTTATGAAAATTTACCTTTTCATAAAAGACAGTAAACCTGTGGAATAAGCCATATGTGAGGTTTTGTCAGGTTGATTAATGTCTTGCTGAGGAAGATAGGAAGAAAGGCAAATATTAAGATATCAGCCAGACCATGGCGGTCATAAAAATTTCGGCTTGAGACAATCACTGATACAGGCAGGGAGAATCAATGTTAATTATCTTTCCAAGATATCGTTTACTTTTTTTCTTAGCCACCGGAGAGGAAAAGCAATGTGGCAATTATAAAATTTTGGCATTTGTCTCGACATAGGTGAGAAGATTGTTATAATTACCTTATCAATGTGTCGCTTCAGATGCTGAAACATTGAATAGCAATTTTGGCATGAGACAGAAAATAGAGTGGAGAATTGAGATTTGGTGAGATAAAGAATTTAATCTCTCAACAAGCCAAGGGTTCCATTATAAAGCTAACTTCATGAAGGGACCAGATGGCAAACTTTGACAGTGATTGATGGAGTCGGTAGAGAGTGCTGGCTAAGTGAATTCTGGGTGGCCAAAAGATATGATAGAAATTTAAGTGGCAATGTGGAATTCATTGGCCAATGTAAAAAAAAAAGAGAATTTTGTAAAAAAAAATTCTGGATTATAATTTTAAGGAAGCCAGCTTAGCCACACCCACACAGTGGGGATGCAATTGGTCGAGTGGTAGCAGTGGTGATAGGTGGAGGTGAATGCATGAGAAGGATGGAGAAGTTATTAACACCCACTGAAAGGATTGGTATGAGATATCATTGTGAGAGAGGAAGAATTTAGGAGGATAGCTCTCCTCCTACCTCCCCTCACAGACGAGGGAGACCTCCCCCGTCCCTGAAATTGAAAGTGATTAATTTTCCAAAAATGGGAAGTAATCAATTTTCCTGGCTTGACAACAAAGAGATTTCTTGTTGGGAATCGAGATTTACCGAGAACCTCAGGATGCATCTGGCCCCACACCAGGTTTTGGTCAGTACCAATATAAATGAACATCTTCAGGTCATTCAGTTAGTTGGCGACAGTCAGTTGAGTCAAGACAGTCAGAGAGAGAGTCAAGTTAGTTTGAGTAGTGGGAACCAGAGTGTTGCCTCGCAGAAGTTAATCGAGAGATTCCACGACCTCTGACTTTGCCTATCCTACCAATAGCAAGATATACTGACGAATGAAGCCAAGCCAGCACCTAAAAACTAAATCAGCTGACTTAAGATACCAAACTTGCTTGAAACATAGAAGTGTCACATTCCATAGAAAATGGGCTGGGAGAGAAACACACTCCTATATATAACAGACGGATAAAGTTAATTTGTTATTTCTTAACCTTTTGGGTTTTTCTTTTATTTATTTTTTTTTCCTTTGCGCTTGTGTGATACCACCTTCAGTCCGGACTCAGCCTACACTACAGCCTGACACCTGATTGATCTCATCTACCTAAGATCAAAGTCACTTCATGGGTAGGTTAGGCTTGAGGTCGAAGCAGTTACTCCAGTAACCAGACGTTGCAAGTGAGTTGTGAACCATCGAGCTGGTATTGAACTGGTACAGCTGGTGAAGCCATTAACATCGACGACCAGAATTCGACCCTGGATGGGCCAGTGGCACATATTGGTATCATGATCAGGGGATTTTGCCGAGTAGCGACGACCACCGAATGACTGGGATACGGGCTGGTGGCAGCGACTAAGAGTCAACCCCAAAATGCTGGTGGAAGACTCATTACAGCTTTGCGCCGTAACTGGTAGTTGACCACGGGCCGACAGCTGAGTGTCACACTTCAACATCTTCATGTGCAGGATATCGCATGCAACCCAGTCTAGAGGAAGGAATCTATATTTGATATTATCTGGATGGCTCCCTTTTTGACCATCATCATCTTAATGTCAAAACAATGACTTTTCAACATCTCCTCCATGAGACCTTTTTTGCTAATCATTGTGCTCTCATGGGGAATCCAACTGCAACTGATGCTTGAGTGATTCTCCATGTCTTTAAAATTGTTTGGCCTGACAACCAGTTTCATCAAGATTGAAGTGCTTTATCAACTCACAACAAACACCTACACCTTGAAATAGCTATCACTCGAGATGATACCCAGCTTGCAAATATTGATACCTTCAAATATCTGGGTAGCATGATCTTTCAGGATGGTTCTCTGAACAAAGAAATTGATAATTCATTAAAGCAAGCCAGGCACTGAGAAGGCTCTGTAACAGAGTGCTGAACCAGCCCAATATAGGCCTGTCAACAAAACTAAATGTGCACAACATAATAATCCTCCCTTTTCTTTCAGATGTGAAATGTGAACCTTGTACCAAGGACACATCAAGAAATTGGAAAAGTTTCATATACAGGCTCTTCACTCCATATTTTAAATTTTGAAATGTGCATACTTGAAGACATTCAAATCAATGCTCATCAAGGCACAAGCCTTGACTAGTCACATTATCTGCATGGAGCAATGTTCTATTCCCAAATGACTCTTGTAGAGAGAGCTGTTATGTGGCAGATATTAAGGCTAACTAAAACAATTGTACAAAAACTCAAAGTTAACCACCACTGGCTCAAGATCAAACCAACAGAGATGGAGGAGTATGCCATTGTCTACCAAACACCAGCAAACTTTGAAAAAGTTAGTGTTCAAAGAGAGCGGTACTGTACAACTTTGGCATTGGTGACCAATGCCAAAGTTGTACAGTACCGCTGTATCACCAACTTCCAGTGTCTCTGCTACTCCATACTATGTGTCCAAACTTGGTTTGTGGATTGAATATCCACCTCTGGAGCCATTGATGAATTGCAAAACAAAGTTTTTTTCAGAAATGAAGAATGAATGAAAAACTTACATAAATAAAAATTGTCTTCTTTATGTGTCATATCTCTTCAGGACATGCGACCATCGCTCTCCTGAACTTCCTATGATTTGTACTTCTATTTCCTATTCTACCATCTATACAAGCTCATTAGGTAGGTTACTCACTGTTTTACTCTACCTCTCTTGTCTCCAATATCTTGTGAGTGCTAAATTCTCCAAACCCTCTTTCTTCATTATGTGTCCTAAAAATTTCAACAGTTTTTTTCTGATTCTAAGTATTCTTTTTATTTCCATTTTCTTTAGAACTTCCCTGTAGTTCACATGCTCTACTTATGGTATAAGAATATCACATCTTTCTTATCTGTTACCTCAAGTATATGAGCAAATTTTCCAACATTTACTGCTGTAAAAATATAGTTTAATATATATTTTATTCTCTTACCTCCATATCTTTCAGTGCCTTTCTAAGCAGTTTTTGGGACTGAAAAAATGAATAAAATTAATAAGAAACTTCTAAAATATAACAAACTTTGCTTGAAATTTTTGAGTATCAACCATAATTTATAGTAAAATTATTACCATATAGACATCTTGTTAGCACTATGTTCATGATAGAAATTAAAAGAGAGTTTATCTTTAAAAAGTTTAAAATTAATAATAAATTATTCGATTACTGATATATATTTGAATAATGAAAAATATTTTTAATGCATTATTTTTTAAATTTGTGCACAAATATAAATTAAAAACATATGAAGTATTAAAAAGTAATGACATTATAGGATCCAAAAGGAATAATCATAATCATAAGAAACCAGAAGCAATCATTGAAGAAATTAAAAAAAACATCATTTGTAAATAAAAAAAGGAGAAGCATGAATTGGGGTGAAAAAGAGTGAAAGATATAGACAAATTCATGAAATGCAAAAGAGACCATTCCTGTTTACATTAATGTGGTTAAAATACAAATAGAATGTTTCACCTTTTGTGGACTTCTAATGTTTTTCACCACTGACAAGGTTTCAGAATCCAACTTGATCATGGGTATTATTCGGTCTACTTGGTTCACATTGCTAGCCAATTCCAGAATACGCTTTTTATTATCATTCACGTCTTTAATAACTTTGTCTTGATTGGTTAACAAATAATTAATCACTTTATTTGTCACAAAACGAATTATTCTCTGTAATGCAAACAAACAGAATGAAAGTAGTGATATTAATATGTTTAATTATAATCTAATAATTATTATACAATAAATACTGATAATTATAAATATTAATACTAATTACAATAATAAATGTGTAGGATGTGTTGAAATCTTACCTTATATCTTTCCATTTACATAGAAAATAAAGAAGGAAAAAATATTTACATAGTGACTTGAAAGACAATTAGTCTCTGTTAAAAATATTCTTTTTTTCTCTGAGCTATTTCAGTTGTTATATTTTCTAATATCCTCATGAGGATTGTTAGTATCTAAATACTGTCTGTGGCAAGTATATTTTAGTCTTTAATCATAAAAAAAAAACAAAAAAATAACAAAAACAGATTTTTTTCTATTAACAAATCCATCAATATCAGGAAGAACTAACTTGTAATAACAAAACCAATATATTAGGAATGGTACATCCATGAATAACAACAAAGAAAGTATGTTTTGTAGACAAAGTGTAAACAGTATTTTTTACTACAAATTTTTGACTTGCCTCCATCTATTTGGGATAATCAAACAATATTTATACAGGTAGTGGTTGCACAGATGATAATGTTGTTGCAGATATGCAAAGATGGATCCAGCTGCTTGATGCCACATTCTTTGAGAAGGGTATTTATGCATTCATGACCCAAACTTGATAGTAACATATGCATAATGTTTTATTTGTATAGTAATATGTTGGTCAGTAAATTTTTGTAACTTACTTTTTGGATATCCCCATAGATATGAGGTGTGCTGGGAGTTGGACTGATCATCAATTAATATGTGCCAGACTGAATCTTATCACATGATGAAAAACAAAAGGTGATCATAAGATCAAGGATATAAAGAATAAAGTTAAACAGAGACTGTCACCTGAAGGATAAATTGTGAAACAAATACAAACTGTAGCAAATATCAACAATTCAATGATCTTATACAAAATTTTGTGTGATGTTTATGATCCACTGTCCTGTGAAACATTTTTGAGCAAAAGATAGAATCTTTGATGACTTGTTTGAATGCCCAGATGAGGTTATTAACATTCTTTGGTAGTTCCATGATGTCATGAAAATATGGTAAATATTGGTGGTAAACAGCCTGAACCAATTGAAGTGAAGAATGAAGGTAAGTAGGGAAAGATTCTAAATCTTACCCTCTTTTCTTTTTACAATAATGTTTTACATGGTATTCAAAAACTGTGATAATGTTGCGTGTGTGTGTGTGTATGTGTGTGTGTATATATATATATATATATATATATATATATATAAAGTGAACATAAAGTCCACACTTAGAGGGTGACAGTCTGTTTTATGCTAGATACAATCGTCAGGTCTGACGATTGCATCTAGCATGAAACAGACTGTCACCTCTAAGTGTTGACTTCTATGTTCACTTTTTGTATTATCTCTAATATTGAATACTTTATCCCATAAATATAGCACATCTTAAGACTATATTTCTTCTTATATATATATATATATATATATATATATATATATATATATATATGCAATCACACCTCTGTAAATGTATTGAAGATAAGGCAAATGTTTTCTGAGATGATATTATCTGTTAACTATCTAAGTTAATCTTTGAAAAATTGAAACAGTGACTATGGAGACTATGTGACTAAGTTGGTGCACCATGCTTCTATATTAATGTCATTATTTTATGCATGTGAAATGTGGATTGTCTATCATGGTCACTTGAAGCAGTTTGAGCATTTTTATCAATGATGCTTGCATTGAATGGTTAGAATTAATTGGAAGATGCATGTCAGTATTGTAGAAGTACTTCAGCAGAGTCAGTACAACAGAATTGGACTAACAATTCCCAATACCAAACTACCAACCAACTATGAAATGGCATTAACTATTCATGTCACATTTAAGGAAAAGTGTAAAACCCAGTTGGTGGGCTGAAAAAAATATGCAAACATTCACAAAAATAATGACAACAAAATGTAAATTTCAAAATACTATATTTGTTTAAAGCACAACTAAATTTTATAATGATATCTTGTGATGGTCATATTCAAAATCAATGTGGCAGCCTTTTGGCAGTAATTGTGCAACTCCCTTCCTGGTCATCCAAAATTTCCAACACCACAGCTGATTGATGAAGATTCGTTCGATCTCAGACCAGCCCTATCCCACGTTGTGATTTAAGTTTAATCATAAGGCAGCTAAGATTGAATCATTGTAAGTATCTTTGTATTGGGCTCCAAGCAGGGCTATGACATACAAGAAAAAAATAACACTTGAATAAATTGAACAAAAGTAAATAATGTTTTTATATCAGTCCTCCATACAATAATTGGGTTATATCAGAGTTTGCATGCAATTAATTATCAGCCCAACATGCATCTAAATCAGAAGTGATATTATTGTTGTTGACTTGGCAAAGTTTAGTTTGCTGCTTTGGTAAAGTTTTGCACAAGGCCAAAGTTGTGGCCTTTTGCTTGCAGATAACCATGTGGGCCTCTCTCCTGTTTCTGGTTTTGTCTCCATCTCTTCTGTCTCTCTTCTGCCTCTCTCTAAATCTCCTCAGTGAGTGTGGGTGGCTTATCCACTCCTTCCTGGTATTCACACTCAACTTTCAACCAGGGGAATCAACTCTAAATTCGTTGTTTATGAAAAATGAAATTTTTGCTTTACAGCTTGCATTTTCAGCTGTGTAGAACATATGTCAGTTATCATTGCTCCCTAATTCTGGGTCACTACTGATCAGCATATAATTCAAGTTGTTTATATGTGAATTAAATCCTCAATTTTTCACACAAGTTTTCAGTATAAACCCTTCTCAATTCAATGTCTCTCAGTATATAACACTTTCTTATGTTTTAACAAAACCTTCTTCCATTTAACTATGGCGACAATTATATATATATATATATATATATATATATATATATATATATATATATATCCAAGTGTAAAGTAGGTAAGTACCAATGTATAGACATTATATTTTTTAAAAAGGGTCAATACAGAGTAGAGTTTAATAATAATAATTAATAATATTTATTAAGAATTATAACAAAAACATGTTATAAACCCCTGCAGAAATGCAATCATGTTTTGACAATGTGTGTGCCTTCTCAGGTGGTGTTGCCATTTTATGGTTTAAAAGTAGCAATACCCACAATGGGGAGGGGTGGAAATAAAAAGAATCTATGCTAAAGCCCAACAAGGTGGTGGGTGTGAAGAGGAGGGTAGAAGAGAAGGGAAGTAGTGAACCAGTAGTAGATGGGATGTATAATTATACAGTTTCAGGCATACACATATACACACCCATACATCCACACACACAGATACATGCATATACACACACCCACAACCATATACATACCTACACAAATGAACATACACATATACATAAATATATATAAACACATATACATATGTATATACATACACACACATATATTACATACATGCAAACACAACACACACAAACACACACACACACACACATATATATATATATATATATATATATATATATATATATATATGTGTGTGTCCAGATAAGATGAGAATGAATAGAGTACAATTCCAGTGTATGTAACATTTAATTTAAAAGAGGGCTCAATACAAAGTAGAGCAATATTCTTTATTTTAGGATATTATATTGAAAAATATGTCAAAATTGCTACACAATTGCAGTCATGTTTCCATGCATATCAATGCATCTCAGCTAGTGATTGTAAATTACTGGTGAGTGAATGATTTATTTAGATTTAAAAGCAACATATTTTTAATGTGTTTATGAAACACATTAAAACTAAGTTATAGCTGCTCCAATAATCTTGAGGAGATCATAAAGTTACACAACAATAAAATTCTAAACCAATTTAATAATCTGAATCATAATACACATTCCAAGGAAAATAGTGTTAAGGATACTGGCTAATGTAATTGTGAGAATCCTGACCAATGCCCATTGCTAAAGAAATGATTAGCTAAATATCTTGTTTATCTTTGTTCTATCTCTACAATAGAGAATCTGACAGTTGAAAAGTTCTATATTGGTAATACTAAGAATTCTTTCAAGACTAGGTGGTATCAACATATATTGTCATTTACTTACAGAAATAATACATCACTTTCCATGAATGACGATAATAGGGAAGTAGTGAACCAGTAGTAGATGTAAATGTTTTCCATTTCACCTAGATTCCTTAGGTGAAATGGAAAATTTTAAAAATGGCAAGGACATGTAGATTCTTATATGAACCCTGTTTTCTGTGTTTGCATGAAAAATTGCAAATTATCAGGTTTTTTGATAAGAATGTTTTATTAAACCAAAGATCCAAGTTAATGGTAAATTGTAAACACAGTCTACTTTTACCTTACAGTTCAGTTAGACTTGAAATTTGACAATGCTTTTTCTTATATTTTAGTTGAACTGTGTTGCACCATATATGGCTTATCTTTCTGTTGGTAAAATTAATTTGAATTTAATATAATTCTGTATTAATCTTCTGGTAGTGTTAGTAACATCTTGTATGAATGTATTGGTATTTGGTTGGTATTTTGACATTTTTTTTTTATTGATTGTTTATTGTTATATAAATAATATAACCATATATAAAGAATCTTTAGTCAATGGTTTCATATTAATTTACCAAGTAAGTCTATACATTTAAATTATTTACTGGTTTTTTAAAGAAGATGTTTATTTATCAACTATAAAAATGTTTTTTTTTCTGTAGGAAACTCACAAAGTATATAACTTGTCTAGCATTTTGTTAGATTACCATTTGAATTTTTCTTAGGAAATAACATTGTCTAATATACAGTATGTATTCATTTACATCAGCTCCTATTTAATATATTATATGTTTGTATGTGTGTGTGTGTGTGTGTAAACCCTATTGACATTTGACCTCTATTACAAAAATAATATATCATGTCATTGCTACTAACTTAATCCTATTCACAATGAATTTGTGCAAGGTACAAAAACCCCATTCAACCAAAAAAGTGATTAATTCTGTCCATAGGAGTTGGTCAAAATTGTCAACTGAATATCACTCCATTTTTGCAGAAAAATTATATCCATGGCAAAAACATTAATTAACATTACTTAAAATAGAATTTGACATGCATTTCATAAAGGATGAATATCTAAAGAAGATTTTTTTAATTCATTTTTTTACTATATTTTTTCTTATTTTAGAGAATAATATGTGATTATAGTGTATAATTAGGTACACAAACAAAACATCAGTTAATATTTATTTTAATCTTTAGTAACCCTTCTTTTACTTTTAAACATTTCTTGAAATCTGATTGGTTATTAAATGTACAGGAAGCTTCTAGAAACTTTCATTGCAAATTAGTCGATTTTTGTGCAAAAGTAAGCTCAAACTATTTGAAAAACTCTTTCTCTAATTTACCCCTAACTTGTCTCATACAAAATAAATCTATTGGTTAAAAAATAGGAAAATACGATCTTGCCTAGGCATTTCTTGGAATTTAGCGACAGCATCTACTGAATTTCCGGTGGGCCAATTTAATTCTCGAAAAAGCTATAAATACAAACAGCAATCAAGTTTCTACGCACAGAGATATGCAGATATTCAGAGAGACGCCAATATGAACTTAATTTTATGCAGATCAGAGACTGCCTTTTGGAACGAACTTCTTTTCTGAAAGATTTGGAAAAATACTTTACATCACAATTCACCAACGTTTTCAGCAACTCATTGTGACAAAACTTTTTCCGCTTTGTCTAATTTAATTTTTTACTAATCTTGACTTTTCTAGTTAAAAGGTAGACAACTTTCACTTACTTAAAAATTGTAAATTTAAAATTTACACGGCAACAGTATTTTAAATTTCTAATAACAATTTTATTCTCAAATTTTCATACACTGAACTTTTAATTAAGCATATTCAGAACTTTCTGCATTTAACATTACAAACCAGCAATAAGAACCTTTTCTCCTAAATATTGATCAATTTTACGCACACATCATTACAATACAAATTATAAAATTCTGTAAAAAAATTTATTTATTGTTCTGAGCCTATTCTTTTGTCATTATTGCATATTGTTACCTACTGCATTTTTTTTTTGAAAATTAAGTTTGTGGATGTTACATGTTTCACTAAAATATTTACACAGTCTTCTCAGATCCACTACAAATCAAAACTTACCTCTTCTTTTTCTGTGTATGGCTCCCTGGTGAAAGTTAAAAGACTCTGCAATAACATTTCTGGGTTATCTTTCTTTGCTAACATTTTTTCAAAAGGCTGAAAGAACAACGGTATAGGAGGTGGAAGTGATTATGCCATTATTTTCAAGTATTATTTGCTCTTTACTTTAAAATGGAAGCATGATAGAGAGAAGTAGTCAGTTACATATTTACATAGGCAATAATTACAGAGATAATTTTCTTAACAAATTTGTCTTCAATTTTTTATATTCATATTTTTTTTTTAACTGAGTTGAAAGTGAAGATCAAAGGCATCACATTCAAATATTAATTTAGTGACACAAAATGATTCACATTAAGTGGCTGAGCACTTACCTTAACTATATCATTATAAAAATTAGATGTTAGCTAAATGGATTTTTTCATTATAACAAAAAAAAAAAAATAGCATATTTAATAGACTGTGGGAAACAATCCAGAAGAAAAAGTTACTTTGAGTCATAGCTTTTATTTTCATAGGAAAATATTTTCAACAAAATTAGTGTACTAGAATAAAGGTAGCAAGTCATTCATGTTACCCATACTCTAAACCAAAGATGAAATTAGGTCTGTGTTCAAAACTAAAAACCCTACAGAGAGTTATACTATATAACCTTTTATAAGAGTATTTTATTCAGCTGCCATGTGATATATTAATAAATATGATTACTAGCAGTCAATGTTACTTATGCCATGGATTGCTAGAGATAAGCACACTACATTATATCTTGTCATTCACTATTACAGTTGTTCAGAATGGTACAATATGATACATGTCAGCATCATCTCAACTAAAAGAATACTGAGGAGCTAAAATGTAACTTTATTTGTTGATGAAGCATTCAAAGATCTAGTGGTCTACAATGTACTGTCCAATGTACCAATTAAAAGTCTCTACCACTAGCAGAAAGCAACATGTAAATATAGGAACTTGTGCGAACTTGAAGTGATTATTAATGAAGCAAGGAACAAAATTAAATCATTGAAAGTGATCAGTTAAATGAGTCAAGAAGAATGAACTGGGAAATGAATGGAGACCAGTAGACTAGAATACTAATCTGGTTAAACAAAATGAATCTCATGTTGTGGAGACTTATAGTGAGCTTTGGGGTTATAATGATTTACATATACCAAAAAGATTAATGAAGGATGAAAATGACAAGGAAACACATAGGTAATTTTAACAAAACTACAAACTTTTTATTTACAAATCTACAAACTTGAAGTTGTGTCATTAGCTCATTTCAGGAAAACAAATCAGAAATTTTTAAAGTCCATAGTTTTAACATATTTTCATGAAGAGGAAATGTTCATACGATTAAGTGATCTGGCATAAAATAATATTAAATCATGTTTGACAAAGGTGAGACAATTTGTTGTTCACAGAAGTGATATATGGTTTGTATACATTCAAAGGTAGACAAAGAGAGTTTGAAATACTTAGCTTTGTTGGATTGTTGAGAGAAAATTCATTGAAGTGCCACGTGCTTGGTTAGAGGCTGATAATATAATATATAATTTTACACTGGCAATAACTTCAAGGATAAACATGATAAAGAGAAACAAAACCTTTCCCCTGATTTCAGAAACTTCTCTTATTAATTTAATTTTTCTCCTAATCTTATATTAAATGGAATTTTGTGTAGGCTTGCAAATTTATTTCCTTCTTTTTCTTGGCTGGCCAGATAATTTCTCTAAATGCAAAATTTTCATTGGTCCAAAAAAATTTCACATAGACTTGAAAATTCCTTTCCTCCTCAGCTGTATATGGTGAGTATGTTGATTCATTGGGTGTAATTCTGATACAATACAATAAAGTACAATAGGTAATGCTGATAGCCATGATTCTTTCCTTGCAGCTATTGCTGTTTTTAGTATTCTGTGTGTGTGTTCAATCGATTCATTTGAGGATGGTACAAAGTTGTTCTTAGTCTATAAAAGCCTATAATCTTTGATAGTTCTGAAAACAATTCTGACTACCTCTATCGTCCCCGCAACAAGTAGGGACTTCCTGATGTGAGACAGCTAAGTGATGATGGAATCGGTCAAGGGATTCTACGGAGCGTCACCAACGATCGGTGCCCAGACACCTACCTCTCTTTACTTCACCTCCTTACTACTGTCTCCTTGCTCATGTTCGACTTTCGGCATTTCGTCCCTACTGGCTGCCTGCTCATCATCTGTAGTCTTTCCCGTGCACTACGGTTATGATTATTATGGGAGGTTTCGATATCAGACCAGACCAGCAGTCACACGATGCCAGCCCTGGACATTCGATATGCCCAACATCGCAATCCCAGCTCCCCGGCACTGACCAGATACCGTCACAATACGGAGCACTGTGTTACAGCGCCAGCTCCCCATTCCAGCCCAACATGTCCAGCCCAGCTAACAGCATCAATCATCTGCAACGACCAGCATAGATCAGCTGCAACGACCAGCAGTGTTCATCTACAACGACCAGCATCTGCGACGACCAGCAGCGATATCTACGATGACCAGCATTGATCATCTGCAATGACCAGCAGTGATCATCTGCGACAACCAGCAGCGATCATCTGCAACGACCAGCATCGATCGTCTGCAACAACCAGTAATGATCTAGCCTCTCCTTAGATAAACGACCTTGACCTTTCACAACCCCTGATCTCGCAGATTTAAGTCAAGCAACATGTGAGAAACTGGATGACTAGTCCAATGTGGTTGAGTCCAAAACGTACCTTGTGAGCATCGGATTAGGCAGCGCTTTTTCAAACATCGAACAACATTGGGATTAATTTAATATCTACGGTTTTCTACTCCCGCTAACCAGGGAGTACATGAATAAATCGTTTTACATATTGCTCGGCCTGGGGGCTAGGATCAAAGTGTAGTACGCTACCTTTGTGAGCTCCCGGTGCCTTTGTCGAGAGAATACTCTTCGGCATGATTCCATTTCCACGGTCAATCCGCCCTGGAAGACATATCGTCTCTCTGACCCAGCTTCAAGTGCTACCCTTCGGCACGATCGTGTCTCCGCGGTCTATCTGCCCTGGAAGGCATAACACTACTCCGACTCGGCCCTGTTTAGGGATTTCGCCTACATCAAGTACTAGCCTTCGGTGTGATCCCGTCTTCGCGGTCGATCCACCCTGTGGAATCGTATAACTATTCTGACTCGGCTCTGTTTAGGGACTCCATCCTCGTTAAGTGCTACACTTCGGCATGAACCCACCTATGTAGTCGATCCACCCTGTGAAGTCGTATCACTATACTGACATGGCCCTGTTTAGGGACTCGTCCTAACCGATACAACGAATCTTCGTGTGACATTGATTAACCTGCTGTTGTCCCTGTCAATTCTCCCGTCCGACAGTCAACCAGCTACCGCCGATAACCAACTCTACATTTGTTTCGCCAATATGACCGAAATTAACTGCCCCTAAACAAAACCAGTCATATCAGGTCTGACAATGATACAAACATATTTCTCCAAAGTACACTCTTGTACATTTTGGATAAATAAAATCGACGTTATTGTTTCTTAAACCTCTACCTTTGTCCCATCATTGTCTTAGCTGTTCACACCTTTCTTCATAAAGCTTGTGGGGGCAACATCCTTATCGGCCCCACAACACCTCTATCATTGATGATATGTAAGGGTACTCTGAATCTGGGTACCTATGTGTTAATGAAAGCAGTAGAGATGTTCTGTGCAGTTATTTCAGTTAGAGCGACAGCCTCTATCCATCTAGTACCCCTGTCAATCATGGTTAATAGATACTGATATGAAGAAAAATAAGGATCTGTTTGTTTTTACTGGTGGTAATGGATCACAATATCCATATGCACAGTCTGAACATGATTAGAAGGTAGTTTGAAAGGTTGTATGTCACTCTTAGTATGTTAAGTAATTTTTGCTTGATGGCAATTTTGTCAATCTTTGCAGAACTCTTTGACAGATTTGTCCACCTGTAGCTAGTAATACATAGATTTTAATAAGTTTAAGAGGACTGAATGTGATAATGTGTGCAGACTATCAAATACAGATTTCCTGAGCTTCTACAGTACAAAAGGTTTTAGAAATGGTAGTAACATGAAACAAATTATTACTTGGTCTTTACTTGTGTAGTAAGGTTTCAAATTGTCTTTCAATTGTTTAAGTTCTTCACCGGAATGCTTATGATTGCGAATTTCCTGTAAATCACAATGATCTAGTGTTACAGCATTAGCTGGCCTTGATAAACAGTCTGCAACAATATTTTCATACCCTCTTAGATGAAAAATGTCTGTAATGTAGTCACTATTAAAGCTCAAATGACGCTGTTGTCTGTTTGACTTTAATGGCAAATGGCTAGTAAAGAGGTTTATGATCTGTTAACAAAAATGTATCGCTACCTTCAATGAAGTTTTCAAAGTGCAACACTGCTAGATATGCAGTGAGCAACTCATGATCGAAGATGGAATATCCTTGTTGGGTATAGGATAACTTTTTAAAGAAGAAGCCAATGGGAACAGCTTTGTCACTTATCATTTGATGTAAAGCAGCATCTACCGCATAATTCAAACTATCCATGACATGTTGGTATTTTTTAATGTTTGAATTTGGAAAGGCTAATGCTGTTGAACTCAATAATGACTTCTTCATAGCTTGAAAAGAAGCTAATTCTTCCTTGCTTAAAGACGGTTGTTTTGCATTAGGATTCAAATGGATACATTCTGTGAGTATAAAAATTAAGTCACCAAACTTTGGTATTAAACTTCCCTAAAAATTAACCAAAAATTGTCACAATGTTTTTGAATCATTGGAAGGAGGAAAATTGTTCAGGTCCAGAAGCTTATTAACACAGGATTTAATTCTTTCCGTTGAAATATTAACTCCCAAAAAGTTCAGTAGCACAAAAAAATACATTTTGAAATTGAACTTTTAAATTGTACTGACTTAGTTTCTGAAATACTTAGTCCAGATGTTTAGAATGAGAATCCTCATCATCGGAATATATTAGAATATCATTGATGTACACAAATGTACTAGAAAATACCATCCAACATCCTTTGGAAGGTATTTGCGATGTTTCACAACCCAAAATGCATTTTCAAATAAAACCTGTTTTGTCAAAATAGCAGTTTAACATACATCATTAGACTGAACTGGTATCTGGTGATATGCCAAAGACAGATCAATTTTTAAAAATATTTTTTTCCATGTAATTTCATCGCTAGTAAGTTGGTATTGGGTAGTGGTCCCACTTCGTAATGCTATTTAGCTGTCTGTAGTCACCCACTTGGCCATTTCAGCACTATGTAGAGTGCCAAACCCTCTCTGACTTGGAAAAACTTTTTAAATTCTTCCTTGGCAATTCTGCCTTGATAGCAGTTGCACTTTTGTAAATACAGGAGCATTGCTCCCTGATTTAATTCTGTGAAATATTTTGACATTTTTGTGCTAGGATTCTAATGAGGGATATCAGATTAGGGTAGTTTTCTGAGGTTCCCTTTACATTTTTATCCTCATGGATTGAAACATGTAAAACACAAATTGACAGCTTGGCATCACTTTGCCTATTGATAATTCTGTCAATCAAATTGTTATTATTACATAGTGACTTAGGAAGTCATATCCCAAAAGTGGCTTCATAGCATTAGCTACACTAAATGCCCATATGAAATTTCTCCTAAGTTTTTTTATTGCCAATGTTTGCACAGTATATTCACAGCATACTATTTTTACATTGTTAGCAGAAACCAGAGAGAAGGACTGTGTTTGTCAGGTTCTCTTTTGGAACAAATGTAATTTTCTGTGTAGTTACTTCCAAAGTGGTGGGAAGGTGGAAACCATCACCTCCCACCACACTAATTTTCAGTTTTCTTGTTGCATGCTGGTGAAGATGGTCATGAGGACGTTACTAGTTTAACATTTCCCTTTATTCAGCCAATACACCATCATTTGTTTACAAGATCTCGTACAGCAAGCATATTTTTGGTTTCTGATTGTGATGATACAGGTTTACAGTAGATTGTAATTTGTAATTGCTACTATGAAAGTCTTTTTCTTTCTTTGGTTTCTCAAAGGGACTGAGGCATTGCTTATTAAAATACAGCAGTAGGTCTTCAGCTATCTTCTCATGTTTTTCTGTTTCTAAAGATGTTTGTGCTGCCAGGACATGTTAATTGGTATTGCTTGTATGAACTTGTGTCATCTGGTGTCACTGCTCACTGCAAATATTTGTTGCTAATGGCATCAGTTCATTTAAATGTCTGCGAGAGTGTAAGAAGACATTAATTAACTCTGGCATTGATCTCTTGTGCAATATTATGATTACTTCTTTAAGTTTGTTATAATCTCTCAACTGTAAAATGGTAGGTTGTAGCTTGCATACTATCTCCAGCAGTAATGCAGCTGTGACACATAATAAAATTGCTGTATGGGCATCCTTATCCTCATAATGTCAAACTGTGCTTCCATAGTTGAGAATCATGCAATCACATTCAATTCAATGAACATGAGTAGTTTAATGTATACTGTTTGTATTGATTTGCTGACCCCTATAGATACTTGATTCATATCTTTTTCATTGTCAGACATATTTATTTGTGGTGAATGCAGTAAAACTAGGTATGTGTTTCCTTGCATGTAAAAGGTCACTAGATTATAGGTAAATTTTAATGAAACAAGATAAAGAATTTATTTATGTATTTACATACTTGATGTTGTGTCAGTAATTCATTTCAGGAAAATAAGTCAGAAATTTTTAAAGTCCATAGTTTTAACGTATTTTCATGAAACAGAAATTTTCATACAGCACATTAAATGATCTGACATAATATTCAAAACAAATGTAAGATTTTGTTGCTCACAGAATGGATATATGGTTTGCATGCATTCAAAGGTAGACTAAGAGAGAATAGTTTGAATTACTTAGCTTTCTTGGATTCTTGAGAGAAAAATTTTTGAAGTGCTGCATGCTTGGTTAAAAGCTGATAATATAATTGATAAGTAATTTGACACTGATGGAAATTTCAATGCTAGATGTGGTGAACAGAAATGAAGCCTTTCACAAGACTTCAGATACTCTTAATTAATTTAATTTTTCTCCTCATCTTATATCAAAAGGAATTTTGCATAGGCTTGCAAATCTATTTCCTTTTCTTTCTTGACTGACCAGCTAATTTGTATGAAGGCAATATTTTCATTGGTCCCAAAAATTTCACATAGGTTTGTGAATTCATTTCCTTCTTTTTCCTCAGTATTCCAAATTTGAAGGGAGTGGGTGAAGAGAGTTATTATTTTGCACTCACTACAGAGACTAACAGAATCCAATGCATATAGTATGAGAATTAAGAGAATCCTTAGTCAGGGTGAAGGCAAGTAAAAGCAAGATACTTGTTAGAGGGTTCTTGATATTCATCATTGAATGTATGTGAACATAATATGAACTGCATATATGAACACTGAATAAAGTTAAATAACAAACAAAGAATAACATTTATTAACAGGAAATTGTCTTTCTCTTTCAAATAAATATTTGTATAAAGTCATGACTGACAGGACAACCTGAAAACTTGAAAGCCAAAATTTTTGATAACCAAGAATATATTTCAGCTTGAAAGTAAATTGACATCTTTGAAGTTGAGTACATACACATACATGTTCACTCACATACTTAAAAACATATGCAACTGTCTTGGTCCAACATACTTATTAAGTAAGGTTCAAAACTTATGATATTTTGATATCTTAAATATTCAGTTTATTAACCATTCATAATACATAGTCATGAACATATAGCTGTATCTTCACACATCTTCCAGATATATCTGTTAGACTTTTTCTCATTGTAGATCTTTCGTTTACTACAATTTCTTGTTATGCTTCTTCCTCCTTGGCTTTCTTGTCTTCTAATTTTGTTTCACAGTTGTCACAATGGAAGTACTATTCTAGCTTTGCAAGGGCTGTCCATACACTAATAGTTGAAAGGCTTCAAAACAGTGACAGAATTTGCATTAATATCATAAGGACATGATATTTTTCTTTTTATATCCTTTTTCAGCTTTTCTTATAATAAAAAAACTTTTGCAATATTATTATTAGGTCTAAGCTCAAATGTTCAGAAAATGAATGTAGAAGGTTAATAAATATATATTGGATACATAACTCAGCAATGAAATATTATTTGTCAGTTCTGCTTAAATTGTTCAATAAAGAGTAAAATGTGTAATGAAAACACACATTTAATATCTTGCACCTTCTGTTAAGTAATAAATGTTTTTTTCTGGTGATCAATGTCAATTAGTTGTTTAAATTTGTCTAAAATTATTAAACTAAAACCTAGTCTCATATACAATTATGTCAAACTGGCTGACAAAAATACAGATGAAAGCAATGAAAATATTGAATATACTCACAAAATCATCCCCAACTTTGTATCTGTCTTTTAATTCTCTGCCAGGTATTTTATTGGGTTTGTCAGGACTTATGATTGTGATTTTGTAGAAGCAAGTTCTGAAATTTGGGGCATTGGGTTGTCCAAATATAGGCTGAGTGATAGCTTTCACAGCACACATAATGATCTCATCAATTTTGGCTATGGTCAGATGTTTTATTTGTCGTGGAATAAAATCCTGTAAATCAATGAAAAAAAGTAATTTATTAAAACTGAATCTTTTGGAGATTTTTTTTTATCAATTACAGAAAAATTATGATTTTGACAAAAATGAAATAAAAAAACAATTAGGAAAGCATTCTTTTTATGCTTTAATTTTCATACATTTTTAACAGGCCATTCATGTAGGCATGAAATTAAATGGATCTTGATTCTTCACAGAAAGCACAACATTGATTTTATTATTTTTATTTGAATACTACTTAAGTTTATAATCAACATCTTACTTTTTTTCTTTTTTTTTTTTACTCACCCAGATTTTAAGTAAATAATTGTTTAATCTTTCAATCAAATTGGTGACTAAATCTTTCATTTTCTTTATTTTGAATTCACCTAAAAAACAAAAAATTATAGCTTTTAAAAAATCTTGAATTTAATAAAATGAAACTGGACTCTGTAGAGTCCAGTTTCATTTGTGCGATGGATAAATTGTCATCTAAATTATACAAAAATGAAAATAACACTGACATCTCATTTTAACAGATATATTTACCAAAATTACATAAAAATATCCTGAAAGAGTAAATTTATTCAATAAAATCATGATTGGCTTCAATCACAGCCTCCAGATGACTTTGGAATCTTTGGCAAATCTTCAGGAGGATATCCTTGTTTAAGTTGGTAAATGCTGCCATAATCCTTGTCTTCAGTTCATCTTTGGTTTTACAAGAATTTTTTTTTTGGTCTCTCACTCAACTGTGCCTCACACATAATCAAGGGCTTTGCAGTTCAGGGAGTCAGATGGAGAAGATGTAAAGGGGTGCAGAAATTGTCTGACAGCCATGACTGGATTCTCCCGCTTGTGTGGCATGATGCAGAGTCCTGTTGTCTGACATAGGATCTTCTAGCAGCCAGCCTGTTTACCCAGGGCAGCACTACCTCTTCATGGCACCTGATGTAGGCTTCCATGTTGAGTTTGAGTCCCTCTGGTAATGTGAATGGAGGCATAATGTTGCCATCAATAGTGATCACTCCAAACATGTTCCTAATCACCATTAGACCCATCCAGCTCTTTCCAAATCCTCTGCATTGTCCTCAGATTGACACCAAAACACTATAAAATATTCCTATTGGAGCTTCTGGCATGAATGGCAAGCAGTACAGCATAACATTTGCAAATTTCTGTTAAGTTTGAGTTAATTGAATCATGGTGCTTTTTTCTTACAGACAATTCTTAACTGACACTACTATACTATGCAGTTGACAAAAATAAACAGCACACATGTACAAAATTAAAATATAAAATGGCTACAATTTATCCATCACTCCTTGTATATAATATGATAGTTAATAAAAAGAAAACAAAATTTTTAAAGTTACTGCATTTGTTAATATTTTAATTTTAAAATAGAAGCTACGCTATTTTGAAATAGAAGAGTAAAAGAAGGAAGATGTGTGGGTCAGAAAATATGTGTGTGTGTGTGTGTGGAATAAGGTATCAGTTTTCTGCTTCAGTTGATCTTCAGATCATAGTCTGCAGATCACTAGAGGTGCAAAACTGACAGTCACCATACATTGTTGAATCCTATGTCTATACCTACAAACATTCTCTCCAATACTGAACACTTTTTCTCCATAAATATACTAGATTTTAAACAAAATATAGGAAATATATTTAAATATATAAATTGAAGAGAAAGCAATTTACTAAGACAAAAATGTATACAAACTGGTTTAATCACTTGATCAACCACAGTAAATTTATGTCCAGTTTCTTACATTTCACCTTTCTTGGCAGATCATGTATTATCACAATCTGGGATATTTAATAACAAAAGTGATGGAAACTTGAACTAAAAGAAAAAGAAACTAAATTAAATAAGTTAGACTACAGACTCAAAACACATTTAAAATTCTCAGTACTCCCTCTCTTTCATATACATGTGTAATTGCATCAATGTAACCATCGCTTGAATTTGATAAAATCCTAAAGGATGAAATGCATCATATGAAACCGTTTTCCATTTTGGCATAGTTTTCATTAAATCAATATATACAGTAATGATAATGGACTCTCCCGTTGGTTTCAATGTATGAAGATCTGACAGCTTAATTGATTCAGTTATGAAATTTTGTGCGATAATCTTCAGTGGCACTTAAAACCCGATAGTGATTTACAGAGGAGGCTGTATATGGAGCAAGAGTGAGGATTGTGGGTTGAGATCGCTATTAGATTAACGAATTAACGTAAACCGCCAGAAAACCTACACAAGTGATTTGATTAAAGTGGTTTAGGCTTGTGCAGAACTATCCACAACCTAGTTGTGATATACTTCTAGACATTTTAAGGCTATAGTTCCCTTTACCTACCCTCGTCGTATTTTATTATAGAGACTTTACTGTTAGCTTATCCAATTCACTTGCTGGTCTCCCTTACCACAAGACAGTGGCTTCTCACTAAATCTGGGTCGGGCGACGGAAACGGTCGGATACGCAGGCCCCTGGCCTTCGCGGTCAGGGACGTCGATCAACGGGCTGCGTATTAAGTTACGCTCCCATTTTTTTTGTCTGCCAACTTGACAATAGTTGGAAACTTTCCTTTCTCTCCCTCCTTCACCTACTACTCCTGGCTCCTGTTTGACTATCGGCATTCCGTCCCTACTGGCTGCCTGCATCGTCGTCCTTAACCTTTCCCGTACACTATGTTAGTAATTAATACGGGAGGTTACTAATATCGGACTCGACTGGCAAACACGCAACGCCTGCACTGGACCTTTGACATGCCCGAACAACGCCAGCTCTTCTTTCCTTCCCAACACGTCAAGTTGGCACCCCGTCAACGACCAGCTTCAACAACAACGATCATCCTGGCAACGATCAACTTCAACAACCAACAGCGATCATCCCGACCACGACCATCAATGCCTGCACTAGAACTTCTGCACCTCCATCGTTCCGACCTCCTTATTTTCTTTTTCTAGAATAAATTTCCATATATCATATATATCCTCGTTCTGTCGTCTATATTGTTTCACCGTCAGATTTAATGTCTTCAAAAATGTTAGCGGGCATCCTGTAACCTCATTCACCCTCGTGTGTAACGGGGCCGCTCGGGGGTACCGCTACACAAGTATCAGTAACTAACAATCCATTTTTCTCAAGCAGATAAAGGTACGCAACTTTGAACAACTTTGAATATTTGTATAAATTGTATATAAATTGATGTCATTGTTATGCATTCAACTTTTGTCTTGTTTTCAACTTTATTTGCATGATTTGTCCCAAGTATTTGTTCTAAATAATTGTTTGTGGACGAATGTCGTAGAACACGGCCTCAAAATTCCTTCTGATCAATTTAAACGCAATCACCAGTCCGCAACATTATATATATATATATATATATATATATATATATATATATATATATATATATATATATATATATATATTGCAACCATACATTAATTTGTAATATGCCTTAATTTATGTTTTCATATTTTGGGTATATATATATATATATATATATATATATATATATATATATATATATATATATATATATAGGTATATATATATATATATATATATATATATATATATGTGTGTGTGTGTGTGTTGTTGTGTGTGTGTGTGAGATCGGATACACCTTTAGGTAAGGAAGGCATAATGGAATTAACCCTCAATCTGGAGTGCAATACTTGTGTGACGATGTTTAGCTGTTACGCGACAACCTTAGGTAGTTCATTCCACACAACATACTATCTGTCAGATCACGCTCTATTTTGAAGTAAAGCTACACTGCATCTGCAAACGTGAAGGATTATAAAATCTACAGTACCCAAGCGCATTAACGTACTGCCTCTTAAATCGACTGAAACTAAAATTGAGCTCTATGACAAACTTGATGCTGCACCCGATTCTGTAAATATTACCAATAATATCGAATCATCTTGGAAAGCTCTGCGTAATGCAACATATTCTACACCCTTGAAGGTTCTCGGCCTGCCATATCGTAAACATCAAGACTGGTTTGATGACAATAATACAGAAGTTCAGCAGCTTATAGATCAAATGCACTCTTCTCATAAAGCATGGATTGAGGACAAGAACTCGTCCGATAAGAAGATCGCTTAAAAGAAGTGCAAAAGTCAGGTTCAGTGAGCTTGTTGGAGTTAACTTCTCCTTTAGTTCGTTAACCCTTTCACCAGGGGTCTTTATTCCCTGGCTATAAACAGTCGCTGACCCTTCGCTTCTTCCTCTCTTTTTCCTCAGATGTGAACGCTCAAAGAGCATTTCCCAAATGCTGAGAACACGCTAAGCACAATACACGTATGTACGCACACTCACCACACACACACACACACACACATATATAATATTCACACACACACTGTCCATGTAACTTGTTATTAATACATATATTTGTATACATATATTTATCGGTCTTGTGTTTGTTTTTCTTTGCCTTCTTTGGACTTAATTAACGTCCAACTTTCTCATGTAGTTGGACAGGCTAGCAGGAAAATCTTAACTCCACATGTGTTCTTCTACTTCTAACAGCAACATCACAGCCACGGTCCACTACAAATGGTGACCACGACTATTACCTTGTGAAAACACGAAAGTTGGTAAATAGAACACGCAAATTTACGTATCTTAAAAAAAATAATGGTACAACAAAACACAAATAGTACGGAAGCTTCGTTGACAACAGTCACCCTGAATTTACCTGCATATAACCCTAACAACATAAAATCATGTCTTAGCTAAAGCTATCCTTACTGAATGGATCGCAATATTTGGTGTACCTTCAGTAATCACAACAGACAGAGGAGCTCAGTTCCAGTCTACATTATTTAGAGAGTTCAATCACCTACTCGGAACTCGACACATAAAAACTACAGCCTATCATCATTGTACAAACGGAATGGTAGAACGTTTCCACAGACAGTTGAAGACAGTTCTAGCAATGAAACAAAACAAAACTAATTGGCTAGAAAACTTACCACTGGTACTTTTATTAATCAGAAACATTGTAAAAGAAGATTTGGGTGGTACATCAGCTGAAATGGTTTTCGGTACATCACTGATTCTACCTGGTCAATACTGTGATGACAACACAAATATTTTACCGACAACAACGTTTGTACAGGAATTAAAACATAGAATTACATCAACACTGAAAGCAAACAAAAATATATGCCTACCAAATGACCTTTACACTTGTACATATATATTTATAAGAAATGACGATTTAAAAAAACCCTTTATGTTCAAACTACTCAGGTCCATACCAAGTTATTAACAGAAAGGACAAATATTTCACCATCATGAAAAATGGAAAACATGACAATATTGCTATCGATCGGATTAAACCGGCTTATGTCGATAATCAATTCTCACAGTAACTACAAAAAGAAAAACATGAGCATTCAGGCTCAAATATCACACAAAAGACGAATGAACAAACATCCAACAGAAGAAATGACACCTCACCTGAGAAGAATGTTACAACAAGATCTGGGAGACACGTGCATTGGCCAAAATATTACAAAACATATCTGAGATATTAAATAATTGTCTCCTACATATCATTATAAATAAATTTCTAATGATCTGGAGGGGGCCTTTTGTCGTGTCCACTAAAATATCAACTACAATATTTATAAACCAATCACACTCAAGAAAACACTTAGATCTTAAAACACACCAATAAAATCATAGATTACAAATCAGAATGTTTGTTGTATTAGTCATAATTATTTTTAGGTAGATACCGACCAAATATCGTACGGACGTAGTAGAAGACATACCACGTGACTTCTTAGGGCCAATTAGGAATAAATAAATAATTTAATTCTGGAGCCGATATTGTTCGGAAAAAGTGTATAAAAACATACGAAATCTGTTACCAAAACGATATACACGCGGCTGCCAGCAAGCTACACACACACACACCTCTCGCTGATGACCTTCATGACCTCATGTCAAAAACGACAGCGTTGACAAACTCCAGACCACGGCAACACCGCCAACAGTAAGAAACTATTCGTATCTCTCGTATCCGTTTTTACTATGAATCACACACACACATGTTGACTTTTTCATACAAACACACATATCACAACATTTTATTGTTTCTCACACACGTACACAAAGACAGTTTATATTTTATTTCAGAACTTTATCAACCCAAACAAAAGACATTACTTTCCAATCTATTATCAACTGTTTGTATTCCTATCGTTATATTAAATCAATGTTTATTTGTTGAAACTACGTCGTCTTTTCTACTGAATTTTATTCCTTCAATGAAAAGCTTTTGATTTTTCTAGACGGCCAAATTACAAGTGACCCTGTAACGATATTTTATCACTGTATTGAATCTCGACACTCCAAATTTTAACATTCAACGAAAAACCGAGTAGAAGAATTCCTACAAGCTCTCAGGGCCATGAAAGAGCATTGGTGGTCTGAAAAGACCACTGAACTCCAAGAAGCTTCAGATAGAAAGAATCTAAAGGCTTTTTATGCTGGACTCAAGAGCATTTTCGGTCCTCAGAAAAGTGGTGTTGCTCCTATCTCCACAGCAGATGGTGAAACTCTCTTGACAGATAGGTCAGACATTTTAAATCGCTGGAAAGAGCATTTCGAAATTGTGTTAAACACCACTTCGGTTACTGATGAGGAAGCCATCACATCAACTGAGCAAAATCCTGAAATTCCGGAGTTGTCTTTTGAACCTACTTATCAAGAGGTAATCGACTCCATCAGGCAAATCTCATCTGGAAATTCACTTAGTCCTAAGGATCCTATTCCACCCGAAGTGTATAAGCATGGTGGCCAAAAGTTGGTAAAATATTACATCTTCTTTTTGTGGAGATATGGAAGGCAGGCTGTGTCCGACAGGATTATAAAGACGCTTCTATCAAACACCTGTGCAAAAACAAGGGTTCCAGGTGTGTCTGTGATAATCATGGGGGATATCACTACTTTCAATTGCAGGCAAAATCCTAGCGAGACTGATTCTAAACAGAATCATTATACACCTTGTTGACGACATCTATCCTGAATCGCAGTGTGGTTTTCAGGTGGGTTGGGGCACCAGTGACATATTTTCTCTTCGTCAAGTTGCAGAGAAGGTTCGCGAGAAAAACCAGGAGTTATACATGATGTTTGTGGACTTGACGAAGGCCTTTGACACTGTGAATCGAGAGGCTCTTTGGCAAGTCTTGAGGAAACTCGGCATCCCTGAAAACATGCTAAAGGTCATCATTTCCTTTCATGAAGGAATGAAAGCTAATATCGTGTCTGATGATATGATGTCGGAATCCTTTAATGTCACAAATGAAACCAAGCAAGGTTGTGTCATGGCCCCTGTCCTTTTTGTTCTTTTCTTCTCGGTGATGCTGAAATATGCATTTGCAGACATAGAGAGTGGCGTCAAGTTTCAGTTTCGAACAACCGGTGATCTCTTCAATCATCAGCGCTTCAAACCCAAGACCCATCTTCGCACGCAAATTATTCGTGATTTGTTGTTTGTTGATGATGCGGCTCTTGTAGCGACATCCTTTGAGGAGGCCCAACATCTAATAAATCATTTCTCTGCTGCATGTAAAGCATTTGGTTTTATACTTAGCATAAAGAAAACTGAAGTTGTGCATCAAACTTGTCCTACTCCGAAGCAATTGCGTGGTGAGAAACAAAAACCATCAGTCTACAAATTTCCAGAGAGACCATTAAAAGTAGAAAACAAAGCCCTGAACTATGTAAAGCCTTTCACCTATCTTGATAACAAAGCCAATTACACTGGATCTTTAGATGATGAAATCATGCATCGGATTGCTAAGGCTACCAGTGCTTTCGTCAAACTTCGATATCGCTTGTGGAATGAGTGGGATATGAAAATTCATGTTTACAGAGCTGTTGTACTTGCCATCCTTTTGTGTAGCTCAGAGTCGGGGACTCCATACAGGTACCATATACGCCAGCTATATGTTTTCCATAAAAGCTGTCTGCGTGCAATCTATGGATCTTCAAGATAGGATATCTAACGTAGGATTCCTAAATTTTCGCTTGAAGATGAAACGGGATCCAACACCTTGATTCAACTTAATTTTAATAACTATATTGATGGTTTGGGCTCTCGTTTTTGAAACATGAGAACTCTTATGTAGCTAAGGAATCATATTTTTTTTAAAAAAATATTATAATATAAGCTCTACTTCTGTATGGAGCACTGTCTTCTTAAAAATAAAAACAAAAATACTAAGGAACTCCGGATTATTTGTCTGACGTGTTCCTTCCTATTTTTTTGCATACTAGCCCGCACACACACACACACACACACACACACACACACACACACACACACACACACACACACACACACACACACACATATATATATAAACATAGAAACATACACACACACACACACACATTCTCTCTACATTTTCTTTCTAATTATTTACTATTTTAATTTATATCTTTTATGAGGTATAATATATCATGCACCTACATATAAACTAAATAAAAATATACATTTTTGTCCTCTAATTTATATATTATATATATAAACACACACACACGTATGCATAAGTTAGTACTGAAAAGTCTATCTAACAGGATAGACCACAGTTATTAAATATCCCACATTGTGATAATAGAAGATCTGCCATGAAATGTGAAATGTAAGAACCTGGATGCAAATTTACTGTGGATTATCAAGTAATTATAGCAATTTCTAAACATTTTCATGTTAGTAAATTGTTTTCTCTTTTTTTTCATCCAGGCTCTTACAATATTCCTTTGAGGAATTCTTTCTGGTTGTGTGTCAATTTATGGTCAACCAGTTGGAATTCCTAAAAATAGGACCAAATTGCCATCTTCAGCCCAAATTTGACCTTCTAACAAAGAAGACAGAAATTGAAATTCTACATCTGTCACTATCCCCACTTTAAAGTAATAAAGCTCCACCTAAATCTAAGAGATCTCAAGGCAAAAGCCTTAAAAGATCACTGGTCTTAGAACAATTATATATATTCAGTTAAAAAAAAATCCTTGATAGTGGCTAATAGATTAGTTTAATCCACAGGTCATTTGGGCAGTTTTTGCACACTATGTCTAGAAAAAATACTTGTACAAATGTAAGAAAAATTTAATAAAAATTAATCTTAATGCCTTGTCACAAGTCCTCAATGAAACTTGTATTGATTGCTACCCAAATACTTAACTATTTTTATCTAGTCTTTTTTAACCAAAATGATAGTATCTAAATCTACAAAGAAACTTCTCCCCTCAAAACCAATGCTCTTATGCATTTTCTTGTATGAGTAGGAAAATAAAGTCATGCATATCAGTTCATAAGCAGTAAACAAACTAGATATCTTTTCTCTTCTCTCTAATGAAATACTGTAACATTCAACTTTTGTCAGCATTTCTCCTTGATTATTATTTTCAGTGTATAATAACTTACATAGCAACATGGGAAACATACTTTTATACTTCCTAATAACACTGTAACTCATGTTTGTATATAAATTTTATATTGCGCATTTTATACTGAGTCTTTCATTTTTGTAATATTTCCTGTGTTAGTTCAACTAAGCAGCACTACTAATACTAGCTCAGTTTTCTTTTTCTCTCACAAATCTTTACAAATGTTTAAATCAGACACTTTCATAATTTAAAATTGCAAGTTTAAAAAAGTGCTTACCACTGAGAATTCCAAATCCAATTAAGAATTCCTTTATTATTTTACCATCATTCAACTTATCCAAGCTGTTCAAAAGTGTCTCTGTCAATCTCATACTTTCAGACTCAGTACACTTACCAAATTCACCAACTGAAATACTACAATAAAGAAAATATATAAAATTGAATTTTATATCAGTGATTCAGTAACAAAAAAATCAGTAATTGTTAATATTTTATCAAATATTTTCTATTAACACTGAGTGAATATTTTCTTACATTTTAACACCTGAAATCAGTTGTTTTATTTTGAAATGAACAAAAGTTGGCTGAATAACATTAGTGAGCATGGTTTCACTGGCATAAAAACAAAAAAACAACAGATACAAGAAATTTATGTTTGAACATCACAGGAGTATACTTTCCTTCAAAATTAGGATACTCTTCATAGTTCTTAAATGCATAAATTCCAATTTCTTTGTACACTGATCAGGTATATTGATGAAGTCTTTTAGATAATTAGAGTGTAGAGGAGAGAAATAGAATGGGAATAATCCACTGTGATATTTTATTAGAATAATATCCTTAATCATTTTTTATCAATTTTTAAAAAAATTTTGACATGGAAAAATTAGCTAATAAATAAAAGTGATGAGGGAGACATAGTGGCTCGAATTGAGGTAATTGGAGAGCCAAGTTCGAATTCCAGTCAAATCCATTACATTCACTTACATGATAATACCCTTGGGAAAGGTAAGAATCCTCTTCTTTTCCCTTCAGCTATGGGTAAATAGCAGGACAAATTGGGTTCTATAGCCTTAGATTGCAAGCGGTCTACCGCAGAAAGAAATTGCGGGAAAAAATCTGCCTTGTCAGTCATGTATCGAAAGATACATGATTGCCTAAGCATGTATCACACATGGCACATGTGTATGTAAGAATGATGTTTATTTATACACACATAAACACACGTATAGATGCTACCGGAAGAGATATCAGTATCAGAGCTAGGCCTCTTTATTTTTAAGTTATACTCAGTTCAAACTTAAGACTAGATAGTAAACTATATTACTTCTAGTAATACTACATTAGATTATATTATAAATTAGATTGGTATAAAAATTGTTCTCTGATCAAATTGCTTGTTTTATTTATGTCTAAGTAATTTGTAACAAAAAAAGAAAAACAATACTTACATGGTTGTGTTAACTGATGAAAAATTTCCTTTTGCAATGAAACAAACTAAATGTCTAACAATGGTTGAGATGTTAAAAACTGAATCATTTTGTCTGATATAGGATATCCATTCATCACTTCTATCTCTTATCTGAAAATTAAGAACATTTAATTTGATAAAACAAATTACAAAAAACACAAATCTTCTCACAATGTTATTGACAGGTTTGGGAAAAGTGTGTAAAGTGCAGCTTTAAATGAAATGGCATAAAATGAAAATTTAATTCTTGCTTCAATGATATAAATAAGTTCCTTGTCAAATTACAAACTTCTAAATAAAGACACAAAACATTAAGCATTGAAATATTTATGCAAACATATATTAAACTCATTGAACCCTGACCCCAATGAGTATGGAACTATCACTCTGTGCATCTGCTGTCCATAACTGAGCAGTATACAGACCACCTGAATATATGCACTTTCAAACAGCAACCAGTATACCAGTCACTCAGGTTCAAAGGGTTAAGAAATATAGTTCATTGAGGACATTTGTATGACTTTAGTAAAAGACATGTAAGTCATGAAAGAAAAGCTTCATTTGAGAAAAAATAGCATGAATAAGCTTGAGACTCTTCATGCATCTTGTTGTGGAGTATTTTCACAGTGGAGGCTTGTATTTCTAATAAGTCGTCCTAAATTAGGTCCGACGTACAAAACGTTAGGAACTTAGAAAATAAGAGTCAATGACGCAGCAAAATCTAGTTGTGATGGTTGGTACTTCAAATGTCCGAATCTCGACTGTAGCGCTCAACACCATTCTGCAGACTTGCCACTGCTACTCCTACTTATTATCTATGGGAGAGTCCATTACAATAGAATAGGTATCTAACACATCTACTTAATGAATCCAACATAGTCAGCAGCATTAACCCTTAAGTCCTGAGAAAAGTGAAGTGGTATGACATCTCCCTTATTGCTCACAAACCCCAGAAACATCACACTTGCTGGGAACTGAGTACATGACCATTGGTATAGCCTTAGGATCTCTGCATAAACATCAGTCCTTTTGTTGTCTTCTTGTTTTTGACCAAAGTATTTTCTCATCAGAGAATATCAAAGCATTCCAGGCTCTTGATGTTTCAATTTCTTCAAAAAGCACTTTGCACGAATCAGATGGTTATCTTTTGTCATTATTTTGTTAAAATTTATCTGTGTATTTCCTAGTCATTACTCTTCTTGGTGTAGGTAAATCAATTATTCATTTAAACTCCAAAGCCCCATGCCACTATATATTTTATATATGATATTCCGTAGGTATCACTAACATGCATGCAGACTTTTGATAACAAAAGCAAAAACATGCTAAGTCTACCTTTTAAAAATTTATCAAAAATCAGGGAATTATCTGATTTAAATGAAATTTTCATTATTTATTCATTAATGGATTAATATTAGTTTGAATAGGCTTTTGTTTTAGAAAACTGGGTCACAAATTGCAGCTTCAGTTCTGAATTTTTTTTATAAATTTCCAACAACTTATTCTCGTGAAGAGCATTTTATCTATCTACTAAACACGTAAGTACAGAAATAAGCTAAATGCAAAGAATGATATGAGATGACACGTTACATTAAACTGATTCCATTTTAAAATTATCAAACAATTTTTCATTCCAAATTTATCATATTTCCCCATTGCAAAAGAAACTAATTTAGCTTAAAATAATTTTAAAAAATCTAATCCGAGTTTTGAGGAAGTAAGATAGATGAAAATTCTGCAGCTTTATTTTTACACTAATCTGCAGGATTAACTCCCACCTTCCCACAGCATGCCACTAAGTGTTCTATTCAGGACTATTTCATTTTCTTTTTCACTCTAGCTTGAGCATGACTTTGAAAAACTTTGCAACAGTTGCATTTTATTCATTAAGTTTGACTTCATTTTTTTTTTGTAAATAGTAAGTGTTAAACATAAATATAAATTATTTATGTCATATACATTTTTAAAGATTAAATTGTTAGGACTCCATAAAAAAAAAAACATTATTCTGCTCAAGGGCTCCATGGTGTGGAGAGGTTTGTAAATTTAAATGCTTACTTTATATAATGAATCCATTGCCAATGTTTTCAGGCTTTCAATGTACTCTGCAATATGTTTTAAATCTTTTGTATTGAAGTCACCTAAAACAGAACAAATATTGGAATAAATGCTTCAGTTGCTTTACAGTTTTCAAACATTTACTTACATATTTTTTTTCAGGTTAATATTTTAATATTGAAGCTTCTTACTTGTTCTTAAAAAAATGTATTTAAATTTTGATTTTATTTTCTGTATTATTAATTTGAAATATATTTTTGAAAGTTTAAAACTCCATGTTTATTTTACAACATAACAAACAGTGTTTTTCTTCATATTGTCATTTGACAGTAGAATTGAATAAATAAATTTAATAGCTTTATCACTTTTTGAAAAATTATTTTGGTAGATAATATCAAACAGCAACAAGCACAAAATCTCTATTTGATTTTGTTTGAATACTCATTGTCAGTCATTTTGATGGTACCCAGGATGATGACTGAAAAAAATAATTTATTCTCATATTCCATTTGCATATTCATGTAGTCAGCAAATGCAATTTAATGACATCTAAGAAAGTTAGAAGCATCTTTTATATTGCATTCAAAATTTACTATAAAGATATTATATTCTATCAATTTTTGCTTCAACAGTTATAATGCTTGTGTCAGTAATATTATTCTAATGATACCAATGATTACTTTTATCATTATTATTACCGATGTATTTATCCAGTTGATAAAGCTGTTGGAAATTCATGTCATACTGAAACTTTAACAATAGCTTTATGAAATCCACCTGCCAGTCATTGTAGTTTGAGATTGGACATGTTAGTGACTGGCCGAACTTTGCAACAATATTCCTGAAAATTAAAAAAGATATAAAATATTGTCACATTATTATAATAAATCCATCATTCTCATCTGGGAGACTTTAATTGTTTCATCATTTATTCTCGTTTTAATTTTTAAAAACTTAAAATTCATAGAACTATCTCTAGTTTTCTAAAAACAAACTGAAAACTTAATAACTTGAAGCTGGTCTTCTATAATTTTACATACCAAATGAAGTTTGTAATTATTTTAGAAAATTGGGAATGATGATGACCCCAATTACAATTTTTTTTGTTTAGCAAAAATCTATAACTCTTAAATTCCCAATGTACAACTCTTGAAACAGCAGCAGCTGCAATAATAATAATAATAGATGTTCAAATTGGCTTTGGAAAAACATCATGAACTTTTATTGAGTTCCATATGCTGGGTTAATTACAACCAGCAGGTGCAACAGGTAAGTCTAACAATATACAAGTGGTAAAAGCACAGGTTTCTAGTTTCTGGTAAACTGGATGTTGTAAGTTAAATATTTCTGCTGAGTAGTACATCTAACAATAACACAAATTTTAATTAACAATTTAATACAAAAGTTTTGTTGTTTTATTCACACTTTCATTTTATGAAATTTTCTTTCTTTTCAAAATTTTTAATTTTATATATCTAAATTGAAATAAAATTATTGTAGTAAAGAAGAGCAATCAATCAGTTATATCCAGTCAGTCAAGCAGACAGTAAGATCTCAAAGAATAAACTTTTGACAATAATCAAGAGGGGGGAAAAAAATCAGAATCATACTTTTAGAATGTGGAAAAAATTTTATACTCACAATGAACTTGAAAAAGAAATATGAAATAATAAATGACATTGTAATTTAAAAATAAAACTTAATGAAACTTACATTAAATGGTGAATTTTTGACTGATAAACATGGATTTATAAGTAAAAATATTTACAGAAATAAAATAAAACAAAGAAAGTATAATTAAATCATGAAAAAGCAAAGAAAACAGTCATGGTGACAGAGACAAAATATAGTGAATGCTCAGAACAACCATGAATGAATTCTCTACTTGAAGTAAAGAAAAGAGGAGTTACAATTGCCCCAGATCTCTAAATCTGCATGTTGCTGGGAACACTCACATTAACTTATAAGTATCCATGTTAGTAATTTGTGATGTTTTCAAGTTGCATGCCATAAATCTTTGTATGTATTTCACACTCAACATTTGATCTGAGTTATTTTTCAAATTATCCCAAATTATTCCAATCAGAGTGTCCACCTGAAAATATAGAAAACAATTCTTTTAACACATGAGAGACCTTTTCAGCAAACTATGAAATAAATTCATAAAAAGGAAATTGCAATATCCAGTACTGATTTGTCAAATGAGGGTGTGTTATGATGTTGGTTTCGGGTTAGTAGAGACAAACGCCAAATAACACGTAACAATAAAAAGGGTTTTAATAGGTTGGTAAAAAGGTACAGAAATCGCCTGAGTAGTCAATAACTAGCTCAGCTAAGAACTTCTCTGACACTCTGTCTTCTGACATGCCACTATTTAACGTCTTTGTTCGCAGACAAGTTCATCTTCAAGAGGGGTGGTAGGTTTCCGACACAACAGGGTGGATCACAGTTATTAACTGAATTCTGATTTGAAACTTTTACTGTATCTAAATATGATCTATGTAGCAAAGAACTGAGTTAAGTACATTGAGAAAGGAAAATATTTGTGTAAAATAAATGTTCTTTAACATTATTTATGTAGATGCATATATATATGTTGTGCAGGAATATGTAGTATAGACCTCATTTAAAGTGTATGAAACATATGACAACATAAATATATTAAAAGTTCAAACAAAACACAAGTTTTCATATAAAGACACTTGTAAGTATATATATATATATATATATATTATATTTAAAATTCTTATTACAAGGTTTGCATATTTTGTACTGATCTGAGTGGTTGTTATAAAGCCTGAAATTGTGCATCTTGTTACTTCCAAGAGCAAAAACTTGACTTTCCCACCAAACATTGTTGCAGTCCACATCAGTGACTATTTTTTTATCTTGTGAATATTTATAATTAACATTATTTCTCATCTATGAAGATGAGAAATAATGTTAAGGTGATTGAAATTTTGAACTAAACCAAAGATGTATCAGTTATTTTCTATTTTCTCTCCAAGTATTTTGTAGCATAGTATTGAACTCACAACTCATTGTGTCTAGTCACTGGATCTAACCAACACCTTTATCCACTGGTCCATGTGTCCTTGAGGACATCTGTGAATGAATTTCTGGGATTTATAAACCTAATGTTTAAGCAACTGTTTTTACCAGTGCTCATATTGCAATTTTTCCATCATTGTTATTGCATATTTTTTTTTACCAGAGCTTATATTGCAATTTTGTGTTGTTATTTATTGATTTTCTCTAGCACTCCCTATTACCGGTTCCCATATTGTATTCATTTTCTATGTTTGGTTGGCTCAGGAGATTTTTGTGGTCTAGCATATGTGCTGATTACTTAATATTTTCCAGTGATGTTTCTATCTATTATTTCAACCTCATCCCACTGGGTGCAGTGATCGCCCTTTTTCCCTTCATATGTAGTCAGTCATGACTGATTTTTCTATTTTCACTTGTGTTACCACTTTACGATGTTCTTGCAGTCTTACCTTAAGGGGGTGGCCAGCTTCTCCTTTATATTTCTTACCACAACTCACTTTTTGAAAACTTTGAATATTAGATCTTTGATTTTTTTTCTGGCTCATGCAAATATTGGACATTATTTCTGATTCACAGACATGGAGTCTTTAATGGGAAGTGCATGTTGGCACTTAAACTAAGTTGAAACTTTATATTTCAGGTTCAAGTCTGGGTGTCATGCATGTACATAGCACCCAGACTTGAAACTTTTGCATGTTCATGGACTTCTTGTTTGTTGCTTGTTTGTTTATTTTTTTGTGCAATAGAAGTAGATAAGCTTTTCTCTTGTCCAGTCAATAATTCTCCCCCTTCTCTTTAACAGGAGTAGAGACTCATTCCTTGTTTCTTGTTTAGGAAGGGGTTCCCAGATCCTTTCTTTTTCCCTGGCCTCTGTAGTGGTGCTGTTGTGAATCTCTTGTGATGTGTGTGGTTTGTAGCAACATCTCTTCATACTGAAGTTACTGGGTTGGCAGTTTCCTGGTTGCTGTTCTCAACTGGTGGTTAGGAGCCCGAAATCTTGTGTAGCGCCTTGAGAAGCTGCTCTGATCAACAGTTGCATAATATCGGAGTTCTTGCAGTGCCATGTTGCGCATGGCTGGGTGTCCCTGCATGTAACTGTGGTGGGCAACCCTGAGGCCACATTATATTGCAGTCTGCACCAGTTCCTTTCTGCCCAAATCATATACAATGATCATTTGCTACTATTACTTTAAACTTTTTCCTTACCAATATAACTCAAAATAAGCATAAGCAATCAAAAATATAAATCTAAACCAGCTAAAAAAATCACCTAAACTCTTTAACATTTCCTTCTCCAACATCTGTGGTATTTGTACCAACTTCTGCAGTGTCAAATCATTTCTTTTTGATAAGTCTCCTGATATACTAGCTCTCCATGAGACTAACTCATCAATCCTCTTTTCTGATTTCTCAATTCCCGGTCACCTTCCTCTCCTTAGAAAGGACTCTAAATGAATGGCCTGGGAGTTTATGTTCACAATCATCTCTGACTGGCTAGGGAATTATTACTTGAATCTCCAGACAATTCATATATGTGTCTTCCTCTATCTCTCCTAAATTCAGTAAGCTATCTCTTCTTTTTCTATCGTTTCCCTTTCTCTCAAGACTGTGGTGTACTTGATAGCATTTTTGATAATATAGACAAGGCCATTCTCTCTATATTCATTTGCACACATATTTGTTTTTAGTGACTTTAACACCAACCATACCTTGTGGCTTAAACACTCTGTAACTTAACTCACTGGCATCCTAACACCTAACTTTTCAATCACTCAATCCCTGATGCAAGTGGTTGACTTCCCTACATGTTTCCCCAGTAATCCTGATGGTAACACTTCCCTTCTTGATCTCTGTTTTACCTTCATCCCAGACTCTTGTCGTGCTAGACAGCTCTGCCCTCTTGACAACTCTGATAATGTCTATGAATATCTCCTTCCATTCCCCCTCTAGAACCTCCTACTAACAGAATATCATTCTGTTATCAATGTGCAGACTGGGAATTGTTCTGTGAATTCCTTTGTGATGTCGCTTGGAATGTGGTTTTTAATCACCCCATTCAAAAATGTTTGTCTAAGGTCTCCTTCTGGGTAAAAGCTGGTACCGTGGCTTTTATCATATTGGTATACTAAACTCTTGATAATAATGGTGGAGCTTGAGCTGTAGCTCTAGATATTTCTAAGGCGTTTGATAGGGTTTGGCAGGCCAAGCCTTCTTCGTAAGCTTCAGAGATATGGTATTATAGGATGATTATTTGATTTAATCCAATAATTCCTGTCAAACCATGAAATGAAGGTTGTCCTAAACAGCTTCTTCTTCAGTTCCTTTCATATGAATGTTGGTGTTCCCCAAGGCTCTATCCTGTTTCTGATCTTCATCAATGATCTTCCTGATGTCATTAGTTCTCACGTAAGCATCTACACAGACAACACTACCATTTACTCCTGTCTCAATAGTACATCCGGCATTCCTAACAAAGTTAACCTGGCTGTTGGTCTTGAAAAGGATCTCCAATCTGTGATTGACTGGTGCAGGAAATGGTTTGTAAATTTGAATGCCTCCAAAATGAAACTGCTCTGATTTATGCACCATAGAGAAACCTCTATGCTTCCTATCTGGATATCAGATACTTAACTTCATGAGAATGTCTCGCTGCACCTTTTTGGTCTCATGTTTTCCACTGACCTGAGGTGGAATAACTACATTGAATCAATAGCTTCATCTACCACAAGAAAAGTTGGTTCTCTATGTCATGTCAGGAGGTTTTTCTTGCTTGAGTCCATTCTTCAAATTTACAAATCTACCATTCATCCTTGCATTGAATACTGTTGCCATATATGGACTGGTGCCCCCACTGTTCATCTTGAGGTTCTTGCCAAAATTCAAAAATGGATATGCATTGTCCTGATCTGGCATTTTGACACCAGTCATTTTCTCACAGACGTGATGTGGCTTCCCTGTCTTTTCTACAAATATTTTCATAGCAAGGGCTCTGATGCCCCAACTGCATGAATTTAAGCCTGCTACTAGGTTGGCATCTTGGTCCCACCCTTTCACTGTCAAAACAGTTAAATATAACTGCCTCTTCTACTCCAGCAGCTTCTTCTTTTGTACTTCCAGACAGTGGAACTGCCTTCCTCTTACTTGTTTCCCTGATAGCTATAGTCTTCAAATATTCAAATGTAATGTCAATCGATATCTTCTGATGCCTTGATCCCCATCCTTCTTTTTATCCTTTCCTTAAACACTCCTCAGTAACCTCGCTTGGGTGATATGCTTAAAGAAAAGAAGCTGAACAGGATGGCTTACACACAGTCCTTAGTCATGGTCCCCTCTATGGGGGGTGGGTCTTACTCAGAAGAGGTGTTTGCAAAGTGTTGAACCAATTTTGAAGACTGTCCCAATGTTATATGGACCACAGATCGTTGTATTTTTTCCGATAATCCCTTTACATAGGGTAGGCAGACTGAAGCTGTTTCCTCTTGTACCTTTCTATCCCAGTTGTCAGAGCTGATGTCAAGGACACATGGCCCAGTGGATAAAGGTGTTGGTTAGATCCAGTAACTAGACCAAAAGAGTTGTGAGTTTAATACCTGGCTACAGCAGTAATTAACCAAAATACTTGAGTTAAAGGGAAATAACTGAGACATCCCAAAGTGGCATGGCACGTGGAACTAGAATAATCTAACCCAGTAACAAAATAAAGTGTTCGGTTTGAAATTCCAATCACCTGAAGAAGGCCGGAGTGTACAATGACTGAAACATTGTGAATATGGCAAAGAAGATGAGTATAACAGTCTGAATAATGTAACTAATTATAATACCTCATCTCAGAGATATAGACAGATATTTATAATTAACTTTTATTGCTATTTTTGTTTTGGGTCAAGAAGAAATAAAGTTTTGTCTCTTGCTACAAATATATTGTCAAAATCACAAAAATAGAAAAAGGAAGAAAAGAATGTAAAGAAAACAAACAATATGAATGGAAGAATGAAAAATAAGTGATGGAAGGAAAGAAATCAAGCAAAAAGAAAAGAGAAAGAAATCAAGCAAAAAGAAAAGAGAAAGAAATCAAGCAAAAAGAAAAGAGAAAGAAAACTGTGGAACAGAAATTAAAAAAAATGAATGAAGCCAAAAAGAAAAAAATACAAAGAAAGAAATAAAAAGAAAGAATTTAAAACTTACTTTTACTGATCTAAATACACCTTTGATGAATTTTATTTGTTCATCTGTGACATATGTCAGTATATCACTAACACTTACATTGCCTGGAATAGATTGCCAAGAAAATTATTTCAGAAAAATCAACAGAAAGAACATAAAAAATAAACTTAAGGAAAGAGAGTCAATCAATATAAATATTAAATTCAGCCACATTCTAGTATTTAAAGAATTTGCTTAATGAAAAGATTTAAATTTTCAGGATGGCATCTTGGTCAAGAATGATAATGTCTAATCTCTTTGATTAATATTCACCAGTGAATTAAGTACATTGACAAGGAAGGAGATTATATTGAAAAAACAAATATTTTTGCTTAAAATAAATGCATTTTTCATCATTAGGTGAGGGATTTAGTGATGTATTTATGTATATAATATTTAATTAGATTTTACCTTTTAAAAAACTAGTCATTGTTTAATAAAAATTATAACTGAATAGAAGAATATTTTTCAAATGAAGACTACTTCACAATTCATACTGTAAATGAACAAATAATAAAGTATATACCAATAATCATGTTTAATTCATTTAATGCTTTATTTAATTCTACTGAATATATCATTGCAGTAGCATGCAAATATTTTTCCCAGGCTGCTTCTTGTTGCTTTTTAGTGCAAACATCCAGATTACCAATGGTGTCTAGTATTTTCCTGTATAAAAAATGAAAAAGGTTTAATGAAAAACATTTACTAGTGCTAAATAAATAACCTAATTTGAATAATACAAATGAACAAAGATGTTTTTTCTATTCCCATCATTGTATTTAGTAATTCAGTGGGTAAATAGCACTGTTAGTTAAATTTTCTGGTAAATGTTACATTTTGGAATGTGAGCTCATAAAAGGCTTTCAAATCAGTATTTAACTTGTATATACATTCTTTGTAATAGACAATCATATGAAATATTAATAAATGTAACTTGTAAATTTCAGTAGTTACTAGATGTTTACAATTAGAAGCTTGTAAGAAAATATCACATTAGTGATATTATGTGTATATTCGGTGTATTGGTTATGAAAATGTTTTTGTTTTCAGTTCCAGTATTTTTTGTAAATATACTTTTACATTCTGACAATATTTACTTTTTCTGTTAGAAAATTTATGCCTATAGGTTATTTTGCATATTAGGCACATTTTTTGTTTTGCATATTATTATTATTATTATTACTATTATTTCTTTTGATATCTGGCGTTTACACATTCCTTTCTGGGTCCCGCCCAGGGACCTAAGGTTAGAAATGGTATCATGACACTTTCCACTGCAAAAAAAAAAAAAAAAAAAATTTACATAGATAAAGCCCTTTGTAAAGTGTGGGCTGTACTTGTGAGAACAATTTTTTGTATCTTTTTAAGGCATGGGCTTCCAGGGATCCCTTCAATTAGTCTACTGGAATCTTTTCTAACCAGTGCTAGAGCTCCAACTACAACAGGGATTGTTGATGTTACCATGTGCCACATTTTTGAGATTTCGATTTCAAGGTCCTTGTATTTTGACAGCTTTTTGAATATCTTCAAAGATACATTGCAGTCGGCAGAGACTGCAATATCAATAAGGAGACACTTTTTTTGTTTGTGGTCTTTAATAACAATATCTGGGCGGTTGGCTTTGATTGTTCTGTCAGTGTGTATTGTGTAGTCCCATAGAATTGTAACACGTCCTATCTCCGTAATCGGGTCTGGATGGTGTTCATACCAGTTTCTTTCAGTTTCATTCCTGTAGAAGTTGCAGATTTTCCAGTGCAGATATTGGCCCACTCTGTCATGTCGGGTTTTATATTCAGTGGGAGCCAATATCGTGCAACCTGATACAAGATGATCAATCGTTTCTGGACATTTATCACAGAATCTACATGTTGGGCTAACACAGTATTTTAGTATATGTGCTTGATAATTCCTAGTCAACAAGCATTGGTCCTGTGCAGCAAGGATAAAACCTTCAGTTTCAGCTTTCAACCCTGCACTACGTATCCACTGATGGGTACAGGTTTTGTCTACGTCAGCTTGGTTGGCCATGAAGCGGTTTATCTTGCCATTGTATCTGGTCGGTTTCATTTGTCTTTTCTTTCTTTTTTAAGTTTTTTGCAGCTTCAGCCGGTGTATTGTGCTTTACTTGTATTTCTGCGCACATTTGAAGCTCCATTTTGAATTTGTTGACGGAGTAAAGACGCTTACTACTTTCATGTTCCTTGACACATACCATCATCCAGTCTTCTGTAGTTTCCAAGTATCTTTGGAGGTCAATTGTTGTAGGACAGTTCTAGTTGAACTAATCCTCTGCCTCCTTCGGATCTGGGCACATACAGTCGATCAACATCAGCTTTGGGATGATGCATGTGGTAGCAAGTGAGAAGCTTTCTCGTTTTGGCGTCCATTCACTTAATTCCAGCTATGGTTCAGTTAAGGACATTAAAGCTGTATTGCACCACAGGAACAGCCAAGATGTTTATGACTGATATTCTGTTTTTTGAGTTTAGCTCGGTATTTAGTACCAGACGTACACGCCTGTAGTACTCCTTTCTCACCTTCTTCATTTGGGGGTGTTGTATGCCATCTCCTTCGCTAATTCCTAGGTACTTATAAGCTTCATCATGCTCCAGTTCCCTAATCTTTGTAACAAAATTTAAATCTATTAAGGGTGTTTCTGTAATTCTATCTTTCTTGAAAGTCACTTTTGCACATTTATCTAATCCGAAGTCCATACCTATGTCGTCACTGAAGTATTTTACAATATTGAGGAGGACCTTCAACTCATTGTCGTCTTTGGCAAAGAGTTTGAGATCATCCATGTACAGTAGGTGATTGAATATTTTCTTATTTATTTTGTAACCATAGCTACTGTTGTTCAGTTTAGGAAAAACAAAAAATTGTTCAAGTGCTAAAGAACTGGTCAAACAGAGTAAAATGGAAAATGTAACTTATACAGAAATTTGTGTAGTTTGTGTGTGTGAATAAAGTAGAGTATAAATGTCTTTTCTAGAGTTGCTTACCTTGGATTGTTCTGTGTTTATCTTTTGTTAAAATACAATTTCTATGTTAGTATTGTGTAAGAACACTTTTCTTAGAAAGTTGTAAGTGAATTTTGAGAGAATAATGTTGGTGTTTGAGTCAGCAATTGACGCGCAAAAAGTTTCTTAAGTCAAAATAGTGACACGCGTGGATTCGTGTAACATCTCTCTGAAGTTAAGTGACTGACTGGTGAATTAGGTCGAAATGCTCAGTTTTATTTGTTTCTGGAATCCAAAGTAGGCTCCAGTGAACTGGCACGAAAATGGATTTTTGACAATTGTTATACATTTTGCTATCGTCTCGACCAATAAAAAAATCGAGATTTGCAATGTGAGGTGTTGGTTGGTTAAAACTGATTCTGATGGAAGAGTGTATTTTATCTCGGGGGTGAGTAGAAAATATGGACGATTCTATAGGTCTATCCAGCATTCGTTCTTCTTCATGTCGGATCCATTCTGCATTTGGGATGCTCCAAATATTTTCCCAAAATGTCTGTACATTATCAATCGATGGTGGCCTTTCGACATGTATAGTTTTTTTTCCAATTTCCCTGTACAATTTCTTAAGGTCCGTTTGGAATATTTTATTTTGGCGATAGAACCTACAACGTTTTTCGTATCGTCTTGTTCTCTGTGCCTTTAGCTGAAGTTTCTGCTTCAGTACTTCCGTCAGTTAGGGATTTAATTTTATATTTCCGCTTGATCTTTTTGCACTTGCGTGTGGAAATATTAGGGTTTCCGGTGAGCTCATCTAATATAGAAAGCTCACATCTGATTTGTTTTATATCTCGTAACAGTTTTGCTTTCCAAATTGTCTTGACCCTAAGCTTCCGGGTCGCTGCTAAAGAAGTTGCGTATATGACGTTGTTAACTTCTGTGATGTTTCCTGGTGGTTTATCTGTTAACAGTGTTTCTAGAGAAGCGTTGTATATTTTCACAATGCGCTTGTTGGAATTCGCCATATGGATTTTCGGGAGCTGGTCTCTGACAATTGTATGAAAGTTACTCTGCCGAGTACTTGGATGACGTCGATTTTCGCTTCGGTGATTTCAGCTTTGTGGTTTTCAAGGAATTCTAACTTAACGTACCTGGAGTCATCTTCAGTGACATTGTTTGGAGAACTGCAGATTGTGTTTAAGGTAGAGTTTTTGATTTTATTTCCTTGGAGGTTATTTCGTATTTCATTTGTTTTAGTTTTTACCTCATCCTCTGTCACATTACTTATTTCTACTTTCATCTCATTACAGTTTGAGTGATGGGTCATCGTATGTTGTCTTATATCTAATTTTATCCTATCTATTTCTGCCTTTGAGAGACTGTTGTTTCGCATAATGTCCCTGCGAACATTGGCAAGCATGTTTGGATTGAGGTTAGGTCTTACATCATTTCCCTCCATATTTCTCCATAGTTGGTATGTTTGATTGGTGGTCTTGTTTGCTGGGTTTTCGAGTGTAGTGAAGAAGGATGTCATGACTTGTCGATACTCTTCGTCTATTTCGTTCGTTTACTTTTTATTAGTCGATTTGGTATTGAGTCACTTGGTCCAAGGTTGACAATAATCCGGTTTTGGTAACCTAGTGTCTTTTCGTTTGTGGAAGAGTTTGTTCCAGTGACAGATTTTTCGTCCTCAGACTGGTTTCTCTCTGAGGGAGGCGGCCCTTTTTGACCCGGGTGACGACCGATCCGGTATGAAATTTTATTCGTAATCATTGAAATTGTTAGAGATTTGCGTTTTAACCTTGACCGCGAAGGGGTAATTATGTTAAAGTTAACAGCTTTAGGGCGACTCAATGGTGGGGCCTTCTCTTTGGGCCTTCTTCGAGATTGGTTAGAATGTGGATTTATTAATATATTGGAAGGCGGAATAATTCATAATAGTGCATTGTATTCAGTGGGGTAGACTATACTAAGTTTTAACTTAGTATAAATCGAAGTGACCACTACCAGATTATCAGATTTTACTATACAGAGTTTATTCACTATGATCCCTACCCATGCGGACACATACACATGTACATGCAGATAAAGATATATATATATATATATATATATATATATATATATATATATATATATATATATATTATATCTTATTGAGAGAGAGAGAGAGAGAGAGAGATTAGTACACATATGCATATCTCTCTATATATATGCCCGCACCGACGGAGATATGCGATACCTAGGAGGAAAGAAAAATTGACTGGGAGTTCCGCTTAAGATAGAGTGGGGCGGAAAAACAGATATAGGTAAAAAAAAAAATAAAATAAAATAGATTAAAAAAAGGAAGAGAAAGGAAGGAGAAAAGGGAAATCCAACTTAAAGAATTAAAGTTAAATTGAGTTAAAGGCATTTAGAATCATATCAAAGTACAGGAAAAGTATAATTGAAAAATGGTACAACAACATTATTATTATTATTATTATTATTTAGATATAACATTAAATTACCAATTTTGTATCAACAAACATCTTTATGCATATTTGATTATTTCTAATATTTCTTCTGTTACAAAATAGATATAGCTGCAAGTGGTTAATTTCTTGTTAATGAATTTATGTATCTTATCAACTTTTCTAAACAACTTGCTCATGTTTCTTATCTAATAAGCAATACAACTAGCTGAGATTAAATGATTTCTTTCAATGACAAATGTTGAAAATGTGTAGAAATTAAAGAACATTAACTTACTCAGGGAAATTTTTATCCACTTTGTAAAAGTCAGTAATATTCAGACCACAAACAAAATTTTTAAGTAAACCTTGCAAGGTCCAATCCTTGTCACTGCTTTTTTTAACATTTGTAATTGTTTTGTTAACAATATCATCAATCTGTAAAACAAATAACATTATAACTAATCAAATGACAAAACAATACTCTGTCTGGAACTAACCACTCACCTATGTACTATATACTTCAAGTATTGGTGCATAGGGGAGTGGTTAGAACATTTACTTTCCATCTACAAGATCCGGGTTCACATCTTGACAATTTATTAGGAAGATGACTTCTTGATGTTATCAGAGAAGATGGTCACAGAATATGGCATCTTCGGAAAGTGTCTGAAAAACCATACCTTGACTTGTGAGTGAAATTGGGTAGACAGAACTAGAATGGTTGTGCTAGCATGAAATCACAAGTCATTGTGACCAAGGGTTTGGGTGTACTGGCTTTATTCAGACTGTTGATCATGCCAGATAATGAAATCTTCCCCAGAAGCTAACTGAAGTTAGGTGGGCTCTGTGTGTGTTGAACAAATAATAATGTGCTTGAGCAGGTGTCTGCAACAGTGTAAATACTTTTTCAAAGTTAAAATACTTTTCAAAGCACATTCTAAATTTATCTTGTTTAAATATAGTTGTTATAGTAGTAAGATAAAATTCTTTTAGTGCATTTCACTAGTTAAAAATGTATCAATTTATATAAGCAAATGATCTAACTGCATTTTATTTGTTATCTTTTCAAGTTAATATTTCTTTAGATATTTCTATTATTTTCAATTGTTTTCTTTCTAACGACTTATAAAGTTAATTCTGGTTTTCTGGCAAGGAAAATTTGACACTATGTCAGATTTTAACAAGTCAATGTTTTCAGAATAAAATTGATATTAATTGATTTGGAAAACTTTCAGGATATATAATAAATACACAATGTGAATTTCAGTTGTTTTCATTAGAAGTATTTACAATAATATATTAAACATGGTGAAATTTTATTATGCAACTGTTCGTCATTAATGAATATATATATATAATAGTATAAAAATTGTCAATGTTTGTAAGAAAAAACTATCTCAAAAGAGAAACAAAGGTGTGTCTTGAAGGAAGTCATGAAATGAATCCCAATCAGCATGCCGGCGATTGAAAGATGTTTATGAATAAGAGATTCCTGTCTAAAAGACAACTGGAATGAAATATCAACAGATACTACACAGTGATCAGAATTGCTAAGAGGACAGTGTTTCAAATCATGAAAAGAGGTAGGAGAGGAGGTAAGTAACAAATCATGTTACTCAGATTTATTAAGGAAAAATACGGAAAACGATGATTTGAATAAGAGACTGAGCAATGGAAAAATTGAAAGGCTTAATACCTGCAACATCAATAATATTAGAGTGGTCAAGCTACTTATTGTGATGCATATTAAAATCACCAAACAGAAAGAGAGTGTTGTTTCTGTAGTGTCAGAAATTTTGGCTGATATATTGCCGTCCTGAGAAGAGGTGGGGATGCGATAACAGTAAAAGAGGTAGCGAACAGAGTCTGAAGCACATAAAAGAGTTGTCCGGGGGCTCAAGTGACAATTCCCTTGCCATTGGAAGATTAACCTGGATATAAACATCAAGGCTATGCCTGTGAATGCTAGAGTTTTTCTGGCAAAGAGCCTGGAACAGAGAATTCATTGATAGCAATGAAAGAATTTAAATTAGTTTCACAAAGTGCAAAGATATCTGGTAACAGTTCTATGAGAAAAGTTGCTAAAGTTGGAACAGATACCATGAACACTGGAGAAGTAAACGTTAGGAATGGGTAGGCGATTTCCTGGTTTTCTCATATTTCTTTTGATTGTATTTGTCATAAGAAGTTTTGTTTTGAGGATAAAAGGAAAAAGAAAAAGCCAACATAATCATAACCATTTGTCGTTAATGGCAATATGAACTAGCTAGAACATTTTTCTTTTACAGTACCCCCCCCCCGGGGGGCCAGTCGAGGTAGAGAGTTACGTTAGGAGGCAATTTGTATGTATAGGAAAGGAAGGTAATGTTTAACCCTAGAACTGAACAGATTAAGATTATAGTGATCAGGAAAACATCTTCTTGGGAGTTGTTTCCACATGGCAGCGGTTCGAGAATATTCTTAGATAGGTCTGCATAGAAAGAAGCTGTTTGAGTGGAACTTACTGCTCACCGATGGAATACAGAGGGAATGTGGGTGGTTTGCTACTATGCATAGCAGAACTTTGCCATAAAGGTTAGGCCTGGCAGAATCAAGCACTTTCCGTGAAAGTAGTTATAGAGCAGCGAGAGGATTGCCACATCTCGCCTGTGAGAGAAAGGTTTAATGGTGAAAAATAATTTATCAGCCACAATGTCTCTGAGACGCTTTTGGAGTCTAGCAAAGCTGGAAATTGCGGTCTAGCAGCCCCCCACCCCCGCCAACAAAGATGACAACAGTACCACATTCTTGGCCTGATCTGGAGCAGTACAGGGAACCGACCATTTTACCTGCATCATTAACGATGGCTTGTATATATTAGTTCCACTTGACTTTGAGGCTCAATAGTCTCTCAAGGCACGATGCCTCTCCTAGAAGAGATCTGTTCATCGTGACTAGCAATAAATCTATGATGGTGGACTGTAACTAGTCTGGTTTTCGAGGAATTGAATGTAACAAGCCAGTTTTTCCCTACTGGTTAGTTCGTGTTAGTTTGGAATAGAGATCAGCCCCCAATCTATCATCATCAAGAATTTTAGAGGTGCACCTTTATAGAGTCGTATTATCGGCATATATATTTACAAATGATCTGAGAATATTCTTAGGTAGGTCTTTTATGTAAATCAAAAAGAAGGTTGGTCTGAGGTGTGACCTCTGTGAACACCTGTGTTGAATACAAGGACCCGGAGAATTGGCCATTTATAACTACCTTCAGATGTGTTTGTCATTAAGAGCCTCACTAATTCTGTGAGTGATGGTAGTTAGGACGTCAGCAGTGAATCGGGTCGATCGAAATCCGTACTGCTCGTCACAGAAGAGGTTGTTTTTATCTTGTTGCTCAACGACCTTCTTGTTGATTATAGCCTCAAAGAGTTGATACCGAGGAGACTGATGGGTCTAAACTGGATCGCAAACCTTTCTTGAAAACCTTCCACGGGCTTGGAAAGGGTTTCTCCTCGAATCAGCGGTTGAATAACTTCGCTAGAATCAAGAATAATTCCGGGTTGATATTCTTAAGCACAACCACTGGGCTTTTGATAAGTTTTGAATGGTAATATTACTGCGCTGAGATAAAGCATAATGTGGCCACAGAAATACATGCAGAGACACCTACCTATGCACGACATAGTACTACAAATGGGAAACAACGCCTTCACGACACACTCCCAACCTGGGTTTGGTAATAATGATTAAGTAGACAACACATAACAACCAATGTCCGCGGTCGAGCAGGAAAAACCGAAGTATTTCTTTATTTTTATTTTTGTTTACTTCTCTTTTTCTATTCTCTTGAATCTCTTTGTTCATGATGATTTTTCTTTCTCTGCATTTGGCTATTTATTTTTATTCTTTTTAGAACAAGAAAAATGCCTTGTTAAGACAATTCTTATTTATGATTTTGTATGAAATGTTTTGTACATTTTCTTTTTGTTTCATTTCATATTTGCTTTTATCAATATCCATACATCGATATAGGAAATATTCCAAATTAAAGTGTAGCAGAAAAAACACAATTTACAAGTAGTTTGTGATAACAAATTAAAACCAAATTTATGCAATTATTAGAAGACATATATCTCTAACTACACACAAATTATTGTCTAAGTCACACATATGCCGCACTCTATTCAAAACAAATGCAAGTATACCAGAGTGCTGGTCATTATCGACGCAACTCTCGCTTGACGCTGAAGTCTACAACTACGTCCGTGTGTTTCCCTTATACGAGAAGCCGGACAGCAGAGATAGGGGAGGGAAGGGAAGGGAAGAGAAGAGGGAGGGAAAGAGTGAGAGGGAGGGACTGACTTCCTTCACACACGCAAACTAATCATAGAGGCTACCCAAGAGCTCGGCTGACTGCCCATCCGACCATTAAGGCTGTGAAAACGAGCTCATGTGAACACAGAAAGAGAACCCACTCAACTAACAACGCGACAAGCCCAAACCGATAGCCAACAAGCAGTCAGCCCATTTAAGTATACTCTTTTTCACGCTTCATTTTCAAACACTACACTATATAACTTACCGGAGACATTTTCATATTTTGAAAATGAAAATAAATCTTTGGTCATTTCTTTAAACTAGTGTCTAATTTGTTTCTTTACTCCAACCAACTTCCACCTCGGATCAAGAGTACAGATGGAGATGTAAACTTGATAACTATTCTTAAAAGAAACCTGATGTGGAGATTGTGTTGGATGATGCTAGAAAACAGTGCTGAAAGCAAAAACATAATCAAGGTATTCTTGAAACAAAAAGAGTCCTTTCACTTCTGAGCATTTTAGCCTCATGTTGGCCTAAAGTAAACATAAACAACCCAGGAAGTTGAAATCTAAAAAATCCAAACACAGCCAAGAAGTTTTAAGCTAGACAATACTCTTTCAAATGATGAAAAGTTATTGTCCATCTTAATGAAATGGTCAACCTGTTTAAAAAAAGGTTTATATGAGAATGAAAAACAATATTTAAGCAAAGAAGATTTGGATTGAGCAATAAAAACTGCTGTAATGTTAAAGGTGAAATAATTTGAAAGTTAAATCCACTGATTGAGAGACTGATGGCGGTTATAGACTATCAGAGACAATATTAACATGTAAAAGAATAAAACATTTATTCTGTTTGATGTTAATTAAAATATGTTTATGGCCTATATCCAATAATAGCATCCCAAATTTCTAGGAACCGGTTTTCTAAGGCAGGTAATCTTTAGGCACCTATTCTGTTTATTTTCTATTCAATCTGAGAATGGAAATAAATCACTTTATAGTATCAAAAAGAATTAAACCATTTTGATAATTTAATAGAAAACATTTATCAATTAAAATATTTAGAGATTGAAATTCTGTTCTCATCATATTTCTGTTCAGAAGTTTGATGCTTTTTGACTCTAGTGTCAT